GTAAGATATGACCAAATAATAATAATTTATAAATTATCAAGTGTTCATGAGGGAGAGGAGCGGGGAGGGAGGGGAAAAATGAGGAGCTGATACTAAGGGCTCAAGTAGAAAGCAAATGTTTTGAGAATGATGATGGCAACCAATGTACAAATGTGCTTGACACAATGGATGTATGTATGGATTGTGATAAGAGTTGTACGCCCCCTAATAAAATGTTTTTTTTAAAAGAAGAAAGAAAAAAAAAAGAATCCCTACAGAACAACACAAATAAAAAATGGGCATAGACATTTCTACAAGATGGTTAACAAACACATCAAAGATTTTTAACATCATTAATCATTCCCAAGGCAAAAAATAAAAAAGTGCTAACTCGGTGCCATGTAGTCAATCTGCCTCCTAGCAACTTTGTAGCAAATGTCTTTGGAAGCAGAATGCCTCTTTTCCCTCCTGAGGAGTGGCTGGTAGGAACCAACTGCTGACCTTGTGGTTAGCTGTCCACCTGTTACCCTCTACACTACCCCCGAGGGCTCCTTCACTAGGGAACAGTCAATCTAAGCCACAGCAAGACATTTATTCAGATGGCTGTGATTAGGAAAACACCTTAAAATCGCAAGCGTTGGCAAGGTTGGGAAGAAATGGAAACCGCCTACTGTGCAGTTGGGAATGTAAAATGGGGAAGGCTCAATAGAGAATTACCCTGGACCCCAGCTACTCCACTCCTGTTGCTGTCGCGCTTGGGGAGCAGGTCCGACCTATAGCAAACTCACACAGGCACAGCAGGACGAAGCCCTGACCGCCATGCGCCATCACGAACCGTGCCTGTGCGTGAGCCCACGGGTGCAGCCACCGTGTCCCTGCATCTCCCGGAGGCCTTCCCTCTTTCTCACTGTCTGCGTCCTTCACCGAGCACGCAAGCAGGGCCTCAAATGGAGACCTGTCCACCAGGGTCCACTGCTTCATTGTTTTACAATTGGCAAACCCAACAGAGCAGATGATTGGATCAATAAAATGTAGTATGCATGTACAATGGAAGACATGGAATGCAGAAAACAAGACAAACGAAACCCCGATGTTTGCTCTGACATCTGCCCACGGAACCAAGTCAGGCCCGAGGATGAATGATCTCCGTGATAATGCTCTGGTGCTAATGTTCAGAAACATTAAGTAATGATTACCTAAAAGACGGTAATCCGTCTATTGTTTCTGACGTCTGCACATCATGCCTCTACACCTGTGTCTGATTATAATCCATGTTTCCGTGACCCTGATCCCTTGCTTCCTTCTTCCGTTCACCCTAAATGCCATAAATACCTGCTATGTGTAACCGCCAAAATTCCACCCGTAGTAAGGAATCAGTCTCAAGTGATTCAGAGGGTTCCCACTGGCCAATTTTTGGCATTGTATCATTAAATCTTTCTTCCTACACTGGTTTAGTGTCGAAGGTACAGTGAAATCTGTCCACCACCCGTGACCTGCTGGTTTAGAAACACTAGTGGCAGAGCTTCCTGTGTGACGCAAAAGAACAAACTCACTGCTATTGAATCGATTCTGGCTCATAGAAATTGGATAGAGTTGTTTCCTAGACTGGTAATCTCTACGGGAAAAGATAGCTTTCTCTTTGTTCCCTGGAGCCACTGGTGGGTTTGAACAACCAACCTTGAGGTTAGCAGTCCACCACCAGACAGCATATGCAAAGAGCCACAGAATAAACTGACAGGCTAGTGGTGGCCTACATTGTAGTGGTTCTTTCCTTCTATAAGCGTGCACTGCATTGCACTTGATCTATACTCAATAAAATAGTAGTCATAAGGTCCTGTTGTTCATGGTAAATGGAAGTGTCATTCCAGAGCAAAGGAAAAACCACGTCATCTATGGCTAAGTTGGAAAGGTTAGAGATACTGGCACTGATTATAAATTTCCCCCTCCATTTGGAGGGGCTGGGACTTTTCTCTTGATTTACTTGACAACAAGATCTCTCTCAACGGTATCTCCTTCAGCGATTAAGCTCTTGCCTCTAGTGGTTACATCATGAATAATGTGTAGAAACTTACTTGAGTTCATTGGTGGCATTTTGATGTAACTGCACAAAATGCTTTTTCTGTAAGTCTGCCAGAAAAGATGTCATTTTCCTGTGCATATTGTGGAGAGTAGAATTGGGTAGCTGGAAATTTTCATCCAAGGTCTGATTTACCGTTGTTGCTCTTTCAATAACTTCTGTGGAGAAAATACATCTATATCATTTAGTGAGTTTCCCAAAAGTTGACAGGGCTGAATTAGTTCCTAGAGCTTCCCGCAGTGAGGCTGCTATTTCTTTAGCCTGGGCTGGACCTCCAGGCAAGGCAAGGCCACCCCATATATCCCGATGCAATGTGGAAATCTCCTCACAACAGATCCACGGATTTGGAGTTCCTAGATTCATTACAATGTATGAGTCTGGGGAAATGAAAATTCATCACAAACAAAATGGAACCCATAAAGACCAACATCCTGGGCACTACGGAATTCAAATGACCTGGGATTGGCCCACCTTGCTTGCTGAAAGTGAGGCGGGCTTGAAGCCCTTGCTGGCGAAGATCAGGGATAGCAGCCTTCAATAGGGGTTACAACTTAATACAAAGGCAACATCCTCACAGCAGGACCAATAGGTAACAACATGAAAAATGGATCAACAACAACACCAAAGAGACTGCATCTTACTTGGAGCCTTATGCAATGCTCATGGAAGCAGCCGTCAAGAGATCACCTAACACTGCACTGGGTAAGTCAGTAGCATTAGACCCCTCTGAAGTGTGCAAATATAAAGCTGTTACTTTGAGGACCAAGGTTTGCTTGACCCAAGCCATGGTATTCACTTTTCTTTTCTTTTTTCACACTTAATCCCGAACCTTAGTTGGATCTTGAATAGGAAGACCAAAGAAGATTCGATGCAATTGAATTATGGTGGTGGCAAGGAATAGTCAAAGGACCATGGACTGGCCGAAGAACCAATAATTCTGTCTTGGAAGAAACACAATCAGAACGCCCCTTGGAAGCAAAGATGCTGAAACTGTCTCGTGGACTTTGGAAATGTTCCTCGGAGGCCAGGCCTTGGAGAAAGACATCGTGCTTGGGAGAGTAGAGGAGAAGCAAAAAAGGGGAAGACGTTCACCAAGATTAGTTGACAAAGTTGCTGCAACAATGGACTAAAAAACCAAAAAACCCCAAACAAACAATTGTGAGGATGCAGTGCTTTGTTCCATGGTACATAGAGTCGCCATAAGTCACAATCAACTCAATGGCCCCTAACAATGACAACAACCACAACAGATTGATTTAAAGGAGCTCTGGTGGAAAGTGGTTTATGTATTGGGCTGCTGCTAACCACAAAGTCAGCAGTTCAAACCCACCAGAAGTTCCTCAGGAGAAAGACGGAGATTTCCATTCCTGTAAAGATTTACAGCCTTGGAAATCCATAGGCAGCATTCTCCTTTGTCCGATAGGGTTACTATGAGCCAGAATTGACTCAATGGCAATGAATTGGGTTTTTATTTTCTTGGTTTTTTTTGAGGTTCATATATGTCTGCCTTCCCCGAATCCCATAAGAAACCCCATAAGGGTAGGAGCTATCAGGGTGTTGATTTCAGTATTTTCCTGCACCGGACACAGTTGTGGACACACAGAAGATACTCAGTCAATACTTATTGCATGAATGATGGCAATATTCAACATGATTCTTTTTATTTAACATGGTTTTTTGGTTGTTTTAACAACTTCCTCACCTTTGTCCTATAAAGTCTGACTTGCATTGAATTTGGTACTTTTTGAGCCTTATACTATAATCAGAAGAAGGGTGGGGGGAGCCAGAATATATTTCTGTCAGCTAGAAAGACAGAAAACTATCAGGATAAAAGCCAAATCAGACATGCATTCTAACTGAGTAGTGAATAAATTGCTCTCATACCCTGGATATAATTTGGCACCAAATTGATGCCCTAGTTGTTGGCAGTAACTAGTATTAGCAAAGGACTAGAGAGGTGCTTCCCCCTTGATAATGAGACCCTCATTTAAGGCATACTATAACACATAAAAACTGAAGTGTACATTCTTTTTTTCTCTTTTGAAAAATAAGTCTCTCAATGAAAGTCTCTGGCCAGGACCTTTCAATACCCTCACATTTAGAAATATTCCAGTTAGTTGGCTCTAGGAAGCCCAGTGCAAGATTTGACACTCACATCTATTGATACATATGGTAAAGGGAATGTGTCTTCTTTTCTACCATATATAAGCCCCATTTCCCCCTTGCCACCCCCACCCCCCACCCCCACACACTGACACTGGTTACAGTGATGACACCAGGGCTGGTGCCATCCAGGGTAGTAATTTATAGTCTCACCCCCATCTTCATGTCTCATCCTCCTGTCCCTGCCCCCTGTGGGTGGGCCAATGGGTGCGCGTCCTCCAGGCTGGTGCCCCTCCCTACACAACGGCTATTGCTGCACATATATAGCTGCCCCACTGCCCCACGCCACGCTGCCCCGTGGGTCCCCAGGACGCCTCCCTCCTCCGTTAGTCAAGAGGGCGTCCTTCCTCTCCGGTTGTGCTGATGGAAAGTGACTGCACTACAGAACCAGGGACGTCAACCCCCGCAGTACAGATCCCCAAGCACTGCAGCTGACTTGGGCGTCAACCCTCTGACCATGTCAGATGGGGTGGTTCGCACCTCCCACACAGCCCTCACGCCCTCTCCTGCACTTCTTCAGGGCTGCCCAGGTCCCACTACCTGAGATGTTCCTCCGCAGCTTCTCCACGAACGCCCTGAGGTCTTCACTCCTGCGGAGGATGCTCTTAGTCACCCTGCTCACCTGTCCGCTCCTTTTTAACACTCGGGTAAGCTGACAGAAAAGAAACCTCAAGTCAGTTTGACTGAATATGCCAACTTTGTTATCCCCATCCGCTGCCTCTTTTAAGCGACATCAGGAGTTCCAGATTATCTAGTGAAGATGAACACTATTTTGTAAACCAAGGTTTCTGCTTCAGACTTAGAAACTAAGTGGTTAACAAATCCATGCACTACTCGCATGGCGCTAAAAGCAGCCTGTTTACCTATTAAATCCCAGACTCCTGTGTTTCCCTTAGTCGTCAAGTACAAGAACCCAAAGTAAATCCTTACTAATTTGTATTGATCACACAAGCTTAGTATGAGAGTTAAGTAAGCAATCAGGCAAACGAGGTCTTAGGCCTGATTCTGCCATGCTGTAGACCAATCACCGACCATCTGCAAGCTTTACCCAGAACTGGAAGGGCATGACCCCTCCCAGGGCTCTGATGAGAATGAAGTGCAATGTTATGCATTAAGTGTGAAGTCCAGAGGCTGGGATTTGCTGCCCTCAGCCATTATTTTTATGAGGAATTTTGCAATTTTAAAAGGAAATGTTGTTTATAATTTGCAAGCATATAAAGTAACTCAGATTAGGCCTGAAAAATGTTTGCTAGTCAGGATCCAAAGAGAATCTTCTCTAAGGAATGGAGACAACTTATTTTAATCGACATATTGCTTCCTACCAAATGTTTACACCAAGATATTTAAAGCCCACATTTAAACCCTTAAAACTGTCCCTGATCATCAATTCTACATTAACAGGTGCCCAGCTAATACTGTGTTTTTTTAAAAAGTGCATGATTGTGTATGTGTGCTTGCTTAGAGGCAGAGACTAAATACACAATTGTCTGTAAACTCTATGCCATATGCATGCATACACAGGCACACACATGCACACTTGTGCACACACAGGGAATTCTTAAGTGAAACATTTTAAATTTGGAACTGGGCTTCTCTCACCATCTGCAAAAGAGTATATCATTCTTGGATCACTAGAAGCCATCAATCTAGCCTGGCCTAAACGGAATGAATAATTCTCTGCTGACATAAAAACTAGCTTACTTGCCATGGGAAGTCCACAGATGAACACCCCCCGCCCCCTGGGGTGCCGGCAGCCCACGTCCGCACAGAAAGTGGGGAATCGGCAGTGGGGCGCAGAGTGCACCCACCTGAGAAGCATCTTCAGCTCTCAGCCGCTGAGCAGGCACAGTGCTCCCCTGGCCTCGGTTTGAATGCATGCCAGAGAGGGAAGACACTTTGGGATTTTGAGAACCTGTCTCTCATGGCTCAGAGAACAGCGACAACAAAAAAATCAAATAGTGAAATGACTGGCCTAAGTGCTCACTGGTGTGAGGGGACCAAGAGAAGTTACGTCAGGAGCCCTTTCCCAGTAAAGTGTAAAAGCTGGCAGGTGGAACTCAGTTTGAAGGCAGATACCACCGCACAGGGTGAGAGAAGGCGGCCCCGCGGACGTGAACATTGAGCGCAGCACCTTGTGAGGGTGCAGGACCTGCTAGGAGGAGTGGGTGCCAAGGCGGCCAGAATTTACCTTGTTTTGCAAGTCGTGGGTTTGTTCTGTGACACCTTTGAATTGAATTTCTGCCAGTTTCATTTGTGCATGTTGATTTAATAAAGATTTCTAAGAAAAACAAAGACAAGACATCACTACATAGCAGAGAAATGCACTTCCTTTTTTGATACTTCTTGCTTTGAAATTGTTCGGAGAAATAAATTGCATTCTATCATATTTTTTCCTGCAGTTTGGATGGTGTCAGCACGGCTTCACACCGCCACCTTCCGTATCTCTGCAGTCTCCCCCACGGCAGTGCCTTTCTCCCAGAGCGCAACTGAAGGGCGGGTTTCAGTAGCTGACTTCCTGGTCAGCAGCAGAGTGCTTAAAACCCTGTGCTCTCAGGACCCCTTCACGGTGGAGTAAAACAGTGGAAGTACTTAGATGGCTTGAGAAATTTTAGGTATTTGTATTGTTGCAGCCCAAACTCCGTAAACAACTGTAAATACTCATGTATAAGCTGAGGGTCGCCCCGGCCAACCCCCCCCCACCCCCGCATATTTTTAATGCAGTTTTTGTGGTAAAATTACGGTAGGTGCTTCGGCTGATATTTGGGTTGGCTTACACTCGAGTATATATAGTACGAATACAGCAATTTCAAAATAAATTTAAATGTTTCTCTTTTGTCTTTAAAAATTTTTATTAGTAAAAATCTGTTTCAATCATTTTTGCCTTTTGAAAAAAATGAAGTCTCCGGGTGAATAAGCAAAAGGTGGTGAAGAAAGCTGATGGTGCCCGGCTATCAAAAGATATAGCGTCTGGGGTCTTAAAGGCTTGAAGGTAAACAAGCGGCCATCTAGCTCAGAAGCAACAAAGCCCACATGGAACAACATATCAACCTGTGTGATCACGGGGTGTCGAACGGATCACTGAAGACAAATGGGTGCATAAGCAAATGTGGTGAAGAAAGCTGATGGTGCCCGGCTATCAAAAAGTATAGCGTCTGGGGTCTTAAAGGCTTGAAGGTAATCAAGCGGCCATCAAGCTCAGAAGCAACAAAGCCCACATGGAAGAAGCACCCCAGCCTATGCAACCACGAGGTGTTGAAGGGATCAGGCATAAGGCATCATCAGAACAAAAAATCTTACCATAGTGAATGATGGGGGGAGTATGGAGTGGAGATCCAAAGCCCATTAGTAGGCCACTGGAGATCCCCTTGCAAAGGGGTCTCGGGGAGGAGATGAGCCAGTCAGGGTGCGATGTAACAATGATGAGAAATACAACCTTCCTCTAGTTCCTAAAGGTTTCCTCCCCGCTCCCACTACCATGACTTGAATTCTATCTTGCAAGACTGGCTAGACCAGAGGAGGTACACTGGTACAGATAGGAACTGAAAATACAGGGAATCCAGGATGGATGAGCCCTACAGGACCAGTGGTGTGAGTGGCAAAACAGGGAGGATGGAGGGAGAGTGGGTAGGAAAGAGGGAACCAATTGCATGGAACTGTGTGTGGCCTCCTCCCTGGGGGACGGACAACCAAAAAGTGGATGAAGGGAGAAGTCGGACAGGGCAAGATATGACAAAATACCCATTTGTAAACTATCAAGGGCTCATGCGGGAGGGGGGAGCGGGGAGGGAGGGGAAAAATGAGGACCTAATGTCGGGGGTTTAAATGGAGAGAAAATGTTTTGAGAAACGATGTACAAATGGGCTTTACACAATTGATGTGTGTATGGATTGGGATAACAGTTGTATGAGCCCCTAATAAAATGTTAAAAAAAAAAAAATGAGTCTCCTAAAGATATCTCTTTGGCCTATTTACCCTTTTTAAAATTCCCATTATATCTATAGAAAAAAATACCATTGTAAATAAGAAAAGATGCTTAGGGAGCCCCATATCACTTTCCACAAAGGCTGCCCATGCCTGTAAGCCGACCCACCCTGTGTATGAGTTCCACATCTTCTCCAGCATTTATTGTTTTCTGCTTTTTAAAATTTTTGTTTTGTTTTTAATTAGGCTGTCATCGTGAGTGTAAGGTGATATCTCATGATTGTTTTGATTTTGCTTCCTGTATGGCTAGTGATCGTGAGCATTTTTTCATGTGTTTGTCAGCCATTTGAGTATAATTTTTGGTGACTTAACTGTTCATGCCTTTTGCCCACTTTTTCATTGAATCATTTGTTATTTTTTTATTGAGACGTTGGAGATTTCTATAGATTTTGGTAATTAGGCCCTTGTCAGTTGTGTCATTGAAAAATATTTTTTCCCACCGTCCAGGGAACCTGTTTTTTCCTGTTTTATGTCCTATAACAACTGGTCAAAATAATACCTTTATAGAAAACAGTTTATTTTTAGCATATTTCAATATTAAGAAAGAAACTATCACTATTTGTCTTGGAAGAGCTGTTTGCAAATCCTCCAAGGTCTGTTTCAAAGGGGAAGTTTTGGGATTTTCGATTAGTCCAAAGGAGAGAACAAAGACAATAGAGGAAGAATGTATAAGGAGGCAGCTAAGGAGAAACTCTCAAACAATACGAGCTGCCCTATAATGAACTCAATTAACTTGAGTAATGATAAGATCGCTGCCACTGTCATGTCCACGGGAAGGCTGGGAATGAGAGCCATGCACCCAGGGAGGGACCCAGAATGACCGCCATAGCCCCAGCTGGTTCCATTTCGTAGTGATAGATGTTTCTATCCACATCCGCATGTCTAGTACCTACCCGGAGATGTTTCGTTGTATTTTCCAGGTTTGATAACATTCCGTATGGGGCAGGGATGCCAGTGAGGTTCACAGAGAGAATGACATCACCGATGTTATCTAAGTCATTCAACAGCACACTTATGCATTCGTCATCACAAGCTGAAATTAAAAGGCGTAAACCAGGAAGTTAAAGTTCATGCAAAACTGCCTGCACATTTTCTCATGGGTGTGCACACAACACACAGGGTAAGTAGAAAGAGGACTGCTAGTAAGCTTTCTAGTGCTGATGTGCATGGTTGTTTTCCAAAGAAAACATGTTGAAACACATCTCAGTGACCTGTGGATGTGTGCAGACACGTTGTTTGCTTGGTCACACATAGGGTTCCTTGAAAAATAAAAAGTCAAATCAAAACAGTGACTGCCAAAGAAACCTGATTGATCATTAAATTCAAGGCAGAAACATCAACTCAAAGGACATGCTGACTGTCTGGATGGATTCCCAAGGAGTAATCCCGAATAAGTTTCTCTAAGGTCTATAGAACAATCACTGGGGCTTCTCTCGAAGAAGTTTTAAGAATATTGAAAACTACGTTGGTGAGAAAAGCCTAGGAGAGTTGCATGAAGGAATCCCCCACCCCCCATGGTGACAATACACCTGCTCATTCTTAAAGGGTAGCAAGGGCGGTCTTATGAGAATTTCCTTGGGAAACCTAAGCCCATCCCATTTCCCATCCTCTTCCTGTCCCTGCAGACTACTTCTTGTCCAACTTCAAGCAACATTTAAAAGGAACACAAGTTGAGTCTCTCAAGGATGTAGAAAACCTTCCCCTTTGACACGGTGCAAATGGAAGAGCACGGGGTTCTTTGGGGGTGGGGGTGGGGTGCTAGAGAGATGGAAACTTGGCCTTCAGAAGTACACACATCTGGGTGGAGATTATGTTACAAGACAAGAGCTTTGCATTTTGCTATTTTTGTTGTGTATCGTTTTTACAATTTGGTAACAACATTTCTTTCTTACTCTCATACGTTGATAGGTACATTAAAAAGCCCTTCCGGGCACCACATCTGATCTCATTCTCACATCAGCTGTGTGCTGGGAGGAGGGGCAGGATGAACTAAGTCACTATCCTTAATGACAACCTTGAGACTCAGATCAGGCCCTAGACTCTGTCCCAGGTTGAGCGCAGATCTCCTTAGACTCATGGACCTCCCAGTGCATTTACTGATTGTTAGCATGAACTAGTTACAGTGAATTCCAAATGTGTTTCTTTTTAAAAGCAAGATTGGTCAAGGGTGGTCAGTTCGCAGACACTCCTTCTGCAAGTATAAATGAAATAGGGTAGACACGCCACTGAAGTCACTAAGGGACGCCAGAGAAGTTGAGAGGATGATTTCCCCCTGGTGTGGACAGAGCCCTCCTCTAAAGTCAGTGTCCCGAAATTAGACAGCTAGCCTCCTCAATGTTTGGGAAAGCCACCTACTGGCTGGGCTTCTGCTATAGCAGCACGAGATAACGCAGATAAACCAACATTATGAGTGCAACTTGACAGATGCAATACCAACCCATGCTTAGAAACCCAAACCAAACCGACTGCCATGGGGTTATTTCCAACTCAACCCTTGCAAGAGTCCTCAAACTACGGCCCGCGGGCCACATGTGGCCCTCTGAGGACATTTATCCGGCCCGCCGGGTGTTTTTGCCCCGTTTGCTTTTTTTACTTCAAAATAAGATATGTGCAGTGTGCATAGGAATTTGTTCATAATTTTTTTTTAACTATAGTCCGGCCCTCCAATGAGTCTGAGGGACAGTGAACTGGCCCCCTGTTTAAAAAGTTTGAGGACCCCGAGACTGTATGTGTTTAAGGGAGCAGCCAGCCTGAGCTTCATTTGAAGAGTAGCTGGGAGGTTTGAATTGTCAGTGTTGGCTAGCTGCCAGTGCTGCTAACACACAGCACCAACATTGCTCCTGAAACCATGCCCGGTTAAAAACAGACATAAGTCACAGGTTCTATAGTAACATTAATTTAAGTTGACAAAAATGGCACGTTCTCTGTTTTGAGGGCCCATTTCTCATGCAGAGACACACTAGCAAGTGAAGCTAATATTGAACCAGAAAGGGAAGAGATGCTCACAAACGCAATCACTCTCCAGCAGAATGTGCTTGGGTTCACACTGGTCACACCGCAGCCCCACCGCCCCTGGCTTGCAGACACACTGCCCAGAGGCTCTGTCACAATAGCCATGCTCGGAGCCATGTGGACTGCAGTCACACTGCTGGCAGCTGCCTCCTGGGACCCGAGGGTTTCCATGATAGCCTGTGGAGCACCTGCAGACAGGAAGATAATTAGGAATAATCAACAACAGGAAGTAAATACATAAACCACCCGGGCATTCATTCTTTCTATGAAGGGAGGTCTGCCTCATTCTGTATTTTATTTCATAAGAGAAAGATGAGATGGTGATAGAACATGCATTTACTCTCTTCAGATGTAGGAGAACTTGCTTTGTGCGAGTCAGAAGGTCCTGAATCAATCTTGTGCACTCTGATAAGTCTAGTATTTCAAAACCAGAAGCAGCCGTGCCTAGCTAGGTCCATGTGACACGTCAGGGCATACCTTTCACAATATTGCCCTTCATAGCCCGGGAAACAGGCGTCACAACGGAAGTCACGATCCCCGTCTGGGACACAGGTAGGACTAAAACTGGAGGAAGGAAAAAAAAATTTTTTCTTTTAGTTTTCAGATATACAACCTGAAACCTTTCACGACTATTAGGATACATGCTACGCTCCTAAACAATGAGCAAGACTTACAGTCTACTAGATACAAAAGGAGAAGAGATACGTGATCAGGATCAGTACGCATGTGGGCCCATATGGTATCCACAAAGCACTTGCTAGACACCTGTCTACTGACAATCACTAGGCGTTATGTAAAGGAAAACCGACTAAATCACCAATCAAGAAACTTTCCAGGTGAGGTGGATCTCCTTTTGCGATGTCGATGAAGAGTTACCTGTCTCACTAGGTGATACGGTAAAGAGAGTTGTAAACGACTAATTGGCACAGAGGACAGCTGAACTGATTCGGATCTGTATAACTGTTCATACTCTAAGTGGTGTCAGGGAGGGAGGGTAGGAAAGACAAGAAATGAGTTAGGGTGGAATTTGAAAATAAATAGGGCTATTGATTAAAACAAACTTTGGTCGTTATTATAAGCAAAATGACAGCACCACTCAAAGTTTAATAATTTGCTGATACTGATGTCCACACTCAGGGCTGGCTTCTTTCTACAATGGCCTTTACCTCTATATTTCCAAGTACCAGCGCGCCATCTAGAGGCTGAGCTGGATACCTGCGAACTCTCAGAAACAGTGCAGTGCAGTCGGTTCCAACTTTTTGGGACTCCACATGCAACAGAAGGAAACGTCACTGGTCCTGCGCCGTCCTCACAATGGTTGTTATATTCAGCTCATCGGTGCAGCCACTGTGTCAATCCATACATACTAACACACTGTCATTGAGTCTATTCTGACTCATAGAGTTGACCTGACAGAGTGGCTTCTAGGTTGGGCTGCTAACCTCAAGGACAGGAGTTCTAACCCACCAGCCTCTCTGTGGGAGAGAAGGGGGGGGGGGGGCGCAGGAAAGATCCACTGCTATCATGTCAATTCTGTCCCAGAGCATCGGAGTAGAACTGCCCCAGTGGGCTCTGAGACTGGAAGTCTTTCCAGAGCAGAAAGCCACCTCTTTCCCAACAGCAGACCCATTTGCTCCAGTAAAGACTTAAGGTCTCCGAAAGCCACAGGGGCAGTTCTGTGCTCTCCTCTAGGGTGGCTCTGAATATACATGCCAGAGGAGCCTAATCCCTTTTTGGCAAGTAAAATGAAGTTGGCGGCCATCTGTCTACCACCGATTACTTTCTTTCCTTCTTGAAGAGCAAGGGCATGCACTTCAATGAAAACACAAAATATATAGAAAACAAAGTTCACCTTCGTAAAAGTTCAAATGATCTTTATGTGGCATGCCAATATACTCTTCAAGTAATAAATTAATATTGACAGAAGAAATATGTTTGGCACTTCCAAAGAGGAAGGCTTTTAAGTGCATAGAACCAGTTGATATAATTGTTGAACTCTAAATGTTGAAGAATGGGGCCTTTCATTGCACACAGAGAATGTTCACACCCTCATGATCTCCTCTTAATAGAAAAAAAATTTTAGTTTACTAACATGGACTTTTGGGGAGCTTCCACTATTTTACTGAAGAAGTAAAATATTTTAAAATGCAGAGATGTGCAAAACAGAAAGGGGGCATGTCCTCCCGCGTGCTTCTCCAAGCACATTGTAGTTATTGCTCTGGCTGTGTGCACACACATACAAACGAATCCTGTGCAGAAGGGCTGCATACGACGGATTCAACTGTATAGTTCAGCAATAATGTACCTACAGGTATATCTTACCCTTCTCCCAGGGTTTCACAAGAGCTCCCTCTGGGAGTGCATCATGATGCAGTTAATCTATCCCTCGTAGGTAAACATTTCCATTTCCCCACACATATCTCATGATTATGAACAATAGTAAAACATACCCATTTTATACACATATGGATGTATTTCTATAGCATAGATTGAAAACTTAGAAGAATTAGCCAAAATTTCTGTATAGATTAAGTAAAAACTTTTAAATGGTAACAGCAGATATTAGGATAACTGGTCATTTGTAAGGGAATTTATTTACATAGAGGCTCTCTCATGTCATGCTCACCATCAAGCATCACAATAAAAGATAGAATATTCAAACAAATTTTAAATGAAAACTTCATTTTAGTGTACCCAAGGGTGGGATTCAGTGTGTATATATGCTATAGAACACGTTACTACATATTCTAAATAATAATAAAACATGATTTATTAATTATAATTTTTATTTATGCCACAGGAGACTCCAATTCTCACTCCAAACCTCCATTTCTTTTGTGTGTGCTTAAATGATCTTCCATAAGCAGCAGGCAGAACCTAGCCCCCAAGTGTCATTCTGCATCATTTCAGTATTTAATCCGTCATCAACATATGCAAAGTCTAACCACCCTTAAACAGGAACAAGATTATTTCATCTTATGATTCATAATATTAACAACAATACATCTTTTGCACACTGGATATAGCATTTGAACGCTAAAATTAGCCTTAAAAAAAAACACCTCCAAAGTCTTTTCTTTAATTGTTTCTATTCTGGCACCCAATACCAAGATTGATAATTTGATTTTGAAGATTCTCTTCAAATGCTCACAAGAATGAGAACTTGGTCCTAAAATTAATCTTTCTTGACACCTGGAAAATCTGAATTAAAACAGACTTAAGATGGAAGCCACTTTGGCTGGAGTTTATTGGGTCACCTGGCTTTGCAAGCTCACCTGGTAGGGTGGGTGCGAGGGCAGGCACACGGAGAGCAGTCGCTGGCTGAGCCCGTCACCTTCCCGTAGTACCCAGGGGCACACTGGTCACAGTGATCGCCAGTGGTGTTATGGCGGCAGTTCTGGTCGCACGTTCCACACGGAGAGGTAGACAGTGGGAAATGGTTAGAAATCATGTGGAGCTGGTAAGTTAGGCATCACCACATTTCCTGAGGCAGAATGGACCTGGCAGCAGCTAACAGCACCACCCCTCTTCATATCAACGTTTTCTTCTTAGAGTTTAGGAAAAGGAGAACATGTTCACATATGTGTATGTACATATAGTTAAGCGGCCTTCATGAATTACACGCAGGGACCAAAAGCTAATTCAAAATCAAAGGCGTAATGAATTTCAGGTGTTTTTGGTCGCACTTGCCCTTGCTGTAAATTACTTGGATGAAAAGAGGTCCTAAGTAGGAAAAGCTTAAGAAGCCCTCAGAGCGTAGAAATTAGTGCCCAGTGGATTCTATGTAAACAAAATACACAGGATGCTCTTAGTTTTTTATCCTGAGCACAAGGACTCAGAGAGTACGGTAAAGCAGTGCTTTAGAGCTTGTGTGCCCTCAACAGCCACAAGCGGACGACGGAACAGCAGAAGCAAAGAGCGCGATCGTTTGGGAAATGACAAGGAGGAAGGACCCTTGACGACCCGACAGCACCAGCACAGATTCTTAGCCACAACCAAGTCATTTCATTAGATCGTATGTTGTCTTTGGGTCTATGTTCTTGCTGTTTAAAAAGGAGATGAACACTTTTTTAAAAAAGCTACAAATGCAAGCAATTCTTGACCTCAGATTCCAGTTCAAAGTCTGCTTCTGCTCAGCTGACAGGCCGTATTCGCCCAGCCGCCCTGCGCACAGGAAACCAGGTAGGATGCGGCCAGGGGAAAGCACAGGGGCCGGCAGAGGGCGTGCGCAGACTCTCACCGTGTCTCCCCTCACTTCGCTTGGCAGTGAGGGGTGATGCATATTGGAAAAAGATGGAGATGCTGAAGGACTTGTTTTTCATTTCATTTTAAAATTTCATTCCTATCTCATCTGATGAAAATAGAGTTTACTGAAATCCACTTGGCTCTTGTCTCATTGGAGATAAGATTTTCGACCTCTTTGGGCAAGGCAAAAGTGTGAAATATTTGTTTTATGGCATGACGTGAAGTTCACGAGGAACAACTACGAGAAAATGAGAGAAGGTTGCAGATTGACAGCTTTTCCTTCGTGAGCAGCAACTCTAGCCACGCCGCTTCACACCAGGAGATGGCAGGAGGTGGATCCAGATTTGACGTCTTTCTGCAGACCCCTGGCAGTAAGTACAGTCGCTGCTTTGTGTCGCAATTGCTGATTAACAGGCCCAGAAGAGGCTGAACAAAACTCCGAGGCTCTCTTACTGTTCATAAGGCTAACCATTCCCCCTAGGGATCTGAGGGTTATCGCTCATTGGGACCGTGGAGAGATTCATTTTCAAGGAGATTGTTAATGGATTGAATTAAAACAGGCTGTGTTGTTTCAGAGATAAACATCAACAGATCAGCTGCCGATCTCACAGCTTGATGTGGTGGATTCAATCCAGGAAAGGCAGGACTCTAACTTAATGTCCTAAAGGAACCCAACTGGCTCACAGAGTTCGTGGCGCCAAATAAAGTTGAGCTTGAATGAATGGCTCAAGTTATTTAACCTGTCCATTTGACTTTACTTTCCCAGCTAATTACATCTTATTATTACATCTTATTACAGTTCTCTTTAAGTCTTTAAATGAGATTGTCTCCTTTTCTCTATTAGGTCTTTGCTTTTGCCTGGAGCATGAACTGATTCGAATGAACTTTTTCTTTTTTTCCAAAGTATTACAGCTATTTGCATTAAGTCCATTTTGTCTTTTTGACTAGAACCATTCTTCAGTGCCATATATGTAATCCAGTCGCAAATGTTAGCATGCATCATTTTAATTGCAACAGCCTTCCAGGGCCTCTGCTTCTATAGTCACTTGCACAGTGATGCACTGTAGCAGTTTCCCCATTGGAAACGGCCCTCAGATGCCAGAGATAAGAGGCACTTCTGATTGGAGTAAGAGGAAGACTGGTGTGGCACGCTTGGAGGCCGAGTTGGGAGCGTATCCTGTCTCTCCTCTCTTCTGATCTGGAGGGCACACTTGTGATTTAGATCACACTCACACACTTCACGTGTGTCTTTCGTGGGAAGGGGGAGGAGTGCGCATGTCCCTTCCATGAACTATTCCACCAAAGGGAAGTCAGTGTTGGCACAATTTAGGTAAGTCGCCAGGATTTAGACAGTGCTTATTATAAAGAGTGAGATTTCCGAAGCAGAGAAAGCTTTTGAGGTTAGTTTCTGTTATAAGTCAGACCCTTTCAGCGTAAGCACACTCACAGAAACAAGAGCCCTCGATCTGCGTGGACCGGGTTCTTCCCCTCCGCTCTCCTCTCCCTGCATCACGGCCATCACTTTTGGCCAGAGTGGGGGTGAGCTGAGGGACGGGAAATGGCCGAGATCCAAATGTATACGAAAATGTGAACAATGTGTCACATTGTCATCCTCCAGGAGAGTGTCCAGTTCTAATCCAAATTTATGTGCAGTGAAATATATAGAAAATAACCTTGGGAACCTCAAGCCCCCTGTTCAAATTACAGGACATAGCGGTATCATTTCCTGACTACAGCCACCAGTACTGCAATTAGAAACCAGTGCTTCTTTGGGACTGATTCCCAAACTCACACCTAAAAACAAGCAACTTTGTGAAAGACCTGGCACCGCCAACATCAGAACTCTTAGCTAAGCCTTTATGAAGGAAATATATTTATATGCGGAGTTGGTTCAAGTTAAGCTCTCTCTAGACCAGTGGCTAGTGTGGCAATAGGCCCCAAACCTAAATGCTTAGTCCCTACTCTCAATCTGCCCTACTGCAAACAGCCACACAGACAAACCTACCAGACACTTTCCAGTTTCAGGCTCACAGACTTCACTGTGGTTGTTGCAATCACAGGGCACACAGGGAGCGATCAGAGGATGAGGCCGCCCGTCACCTGCTTCAGGAAGCATCCCTCTGTGGTACCCAGGGGCACATTGCTGAGGTGAGGCAAAAGGAGACAAAAGAACACAAAAGATCCTCCTGAGCTCTGCCCATCGTGCGGAGTTGGTAGTGGGTTTTCACTGAAGTCTTCCTACCTGACAGGAGGAGCCAGTGGTGCCGGGAGGACAGACACAATTCTCCAGAAGGGAGGCTGCCTCTCCGCCTGCGGGCAGGCCCTCGGCCTTTCTGCCAACGTCCAGGGAAATGTTTGAAATTCTGTGAAGCCGCCGTAGAAAGAGAGGAGAGAGTGGACACTAATAGTTAGAGAGATGGTTTCTGGAAACACAGAACATGACATCATAATACATGCACATACCTGTGTTAAACCAGAGGAGCCCCAAAGACACAAGGGTTAACGTTTTGACCGCTAGCTAAAAGATCAGTGGTTCAAATCAATTGGGGAAAAAGAGGTGTGGCAGTTGGCTTCCATAAAAATCACAGCCTTATGGAGACGATGGCAATGGCCTCCTTTTTTTTGGGGGGGGGGCGCTTTATATGACATCACAGGTCTTCTCCCAGGTTGGGGTGTTCCTTCACATGATTATCTGTACAATGCACTCAAGCACATCAGGACTGCCAGGGAAGATTGTCAGTGGAGTTTTTCGAACTTCGAAATAATACCAATGAAAGTACTCCTGGTAGACTTCTTTAAGGACTGATTTGGCTAAAACAGAGTTATTTTCTTTATGGTCTAAAGCATTAAATGGGCAGTTGTCAGCATTCTAAATGTATCTTTAAAAAAGAAGCGGGCATTTGGATGAGCACCATGCCAATGTGTGGTGATGATGAATAAAATGATACCTTAAGTATTTGTCAGAAAAAGAACGAAATAGGCATAATATTCCTTAGAGGCAGAGAATCACGCACAAACTCACAGGGACTCTCCAGGACAGAGCAGAACTACCCCTGTGGGTTTGCGAGACTGTTTGACGGGGTAGAAGCACTCATTTGGCTACTGAAGAGCAGCTGCTGGTTTGAACTGCTGACCTTGCAGTTAGCAGCCCAACAAGTAACCACTACACCACCAGGGCTTCCAGGGCAGAGAACAGCCAGTGTGTGTCTCTTTGCCTATTTTTATCGTGTCAGATAGCACCATTTTATACTATTATTTCATGAAGATGTTACAGTTTGATAAAATTGCGGTGAGGAATAGAGACATGTAGAAAATGGGGGTCAATGAATCCAATCTTTTCGGTTTTATATCAAAAAAGAGAAATACCTAAAGCTCTAGAAGAAACGTCCACCTACCGACTCCGCTGCAGCCCTTCTCCGCAGGAGGCCTTGATGAGGACGTACTCGATGTTACTAAGAACGGACAGAAAGTCTGAGCGGCTTACGTGCTTTTCAGAAACCGAGTTAAAATATTTCCAAAAGTTCTGTGGATGAGAAACATATTCTAATAAATCCAGAGTACCAATTCTCAGAAGTGTATTAACTTACAAAGGACATGCTTCTAACGTAAATCTCCCCAGACACAGTACTACTTGGGGAGGTCTTCTGCGAGTTCAACCGTAGCAGAAATGGTGTCAGATTTACTTATCAATAGGTGTGTGCAACACATGACCGTGCTAGCTGCAGTGTGAACAGTGAAAAAATGCAGGATGAAAGCTCATTTCCGCAATTCAAGTAAGTACAAACACTTCTATACCGGTACATCTGTGCAGCCACCTGAGAATCAGGATAAAGAACTTAAGATGCAGTGCCTGCTGAATTAAGGAAACAGAAGCCTAATCGACATTGCTTGAGAAGATTACATTTGAGTGATTTCTAGAAATCTTGCTAACGCCGCTAGAATTTTGAGCTCAGTATCTTCTTGCCCATTCTCTGATAAGAAGCAACCCACTTTCATGATGTTGACTATGACGTTTACATGAAAGAACTTCTAAAACAAGGCCTCTTCATTACCTCTTTCATGGCTACTTCCTGTTCCTGTCTCACACCATTCTCAGGTGCAGGGGCGTCCACATAAATGACTTGCTTCCGGGTCCAGCCACCCTTGATGAGGACTTGGGGCTCAAAGTTAGAGGCGCCGATGCCATCCACAGAATAGAAGGACACACTGTACCTCAGTTTGGCACCATAGGCCATGAGCTGTCCAAACAAAAAAAATCTATTTTTATTTCTCTAACATAGGATTTATTTTGAAACATTTTATAATAAGTCTACTGGCTTATTATATGTAATAATATACAGACTATAAATTTTGCTTTATTTAATTTAAATGTGTCAAATACATATAACATATATTGTATGGAGTTTTACTCTGATTCTGTGTAATTACAAATTACTGAATTGATCCAATCTATAGTTTTTCTTAATTATGTCCTTGAAGCAGGCTCTAAAATAGCAGATCAATATGATACTAATCCTAATTATTTTCAAGCTCCTTTAGATTAAGAACGATCTATATCTATAGGAGCACTGGCGAGATATTGGTAAATTTTGAATATCAGAGTGAATTCATACACAGACTCTAACGTGGCTTATGTTAACAAAACTATAAGCAATACCTTTCAAGACTATTTTATAGCATGTTGTTCCCCTCAATAAATGAAAATGTCATGTTAAAGACCACCTGAACCACTCAGACTTGTGTCTATATTAGCAAATACTTTAAATGCTTATTGGGTGACTGCTTTAAGAAGGGGAAAAATAAATTATATCAACTCAGATTTTGTCTCTCCTATTTTGAAATTACATATATCTTTCTGAAAGCGAGGTCTGAACCTGCACCTCACCTGGTCTCCCTGGAACTGATCCGGCAGCCGCCAATAAAAGGGCTCTGCTTGGAGGTGCTTCCGGACCGTCCAGACGTCCAGGAAGATGTCTGAGGCTTGGTAATATACCCCCTCGGTTGTGCCCCCCAGGTTCCTCTGAGAAACCACGCGCAGAAGAGGTTGGTCTGAGGTCAGCGTTACCTAGTCATTGTGGGGAAGAAAAGGGCACTTCAGCAGATGAATTAACCACACAAGTTGGCTTTGTAGATTACACATTTCACAGAGGACGCAGCTTCGTTATTAAAGCAGGAATAACAAAGACGTTTCCTTTAACTTAAACATTGGGATTGAAATGAAAGGAGAATTCTTGAAACAGGTGCATTTTGGGTTAAGTTACTGTTACACTGGGCCAATTTTAAACTATGTGGTGAATGTTGAGATAGTGCACTAGTATATTCTCTCCAAACTTTTGTTTGATGAGTGAAGGAGCAGCGGTGTATGCCGTTCGTTTAAGCTCCATTTGTTTGTTTGTTTTTCTGTTCTCTCAGGCAGAAGGAGAGCTCGGATTCATATGCTAATAAAAACTAGCCCCCTAGACTTTCTATGGCCTAAGAGAAGGTTTAACATAAACACGTAACTATCTCCTTAGCCACACCCAAATCCCCCAAAAGATAAAAACCAAATCCACTGCCGTAGAGTCCGTCTGACTCATAGTAAACCTATAGAGCAGCGGTTCTCAACCTTCCTAATGCCGCGACCCTTTCATACAGTTCTCATGTGTATTTTCGTTGCTACTTCATAGGCTGTCATGTTGCCACTGTTATGAATCATCATGTAAATATCTGATATGCAGGATGTATTGTCATTATTACGAATTGAATATAATTAAAGCATAGTGATTTATCACATGAACACTATGTAATTATATATTGTGAAATATTTATTTCTAATGACAAATCAATGAAATTTTGTCTCTGAGTATCGTGTAGCAGGGGTAACAGTCTTCACGTGGGGTACTTGTATGTGGGCGTATCTGCCTGTGGGTGGACCCACGTGGAGATGGATAGAGTGGTGTCTCTGTTCCTTAGACCATCAGAAATATGTGTTTAAGATGGTCTTAGGCGACCCCTGTGAAAAGGTTGTCCGGCCCCCAAAGGGTCGTTCGCGACCCACAGGTTGAGAACCGCTGCTCGAGTGTTTCCAAGACTGTCATCTTTCTGGGAGGAGCTTCATTTTCTTCCCAAGGAACAACTGCTGGGCTTGAACTGCAGTCTAACACCTAGCCCACAGTGCCCCAAGGTTCATTGTCCACTGCATGAGATCACTATTATAAAAGTGCAGGGAAAAGTTTACAGACAGGGAGAGATATTATTTGACGGTGACCAAGGATGGGAAGGGTTGAGGGGTCAATCACCAGCCAGAGAGAGGGCATGTGTTAACTTGGGTGAAGGAGGAAGGCAGCACAGCATGACCAGGCGAGAGAGAACACTGGGAAATACAGAAAGAATGAGCCGACAAAGATACTAAAGATACTAATACGCACAGAGTCCTGCAGTACAATCTAAGAGTAAACACATAGGTAGACACGCTAGCTGAACCAATGTGCAATGGTGAATGGGCGTAGAGCTGTGAGAATAAACAGGCTTGACAGAGGAGATTTCAGAGGATGTGTTTGTTTGTGCTGTAAATATGTTAAAGGAATGGCAGCGCACACAGGAGACAAAAGTCTGAAAACTTGTTCGGCACAAATAAACGCCTTGAAGAACTGAGTCCCTGGGCTTGGGGACTTAGGATGACAGACAGTCTTGGCGAACGTCTAGGTCCATTGGCATAACGTAATGCACAAACAGAACACTCGGCATCCGACTTTGGTGAGTAGCAACTGAGGTCTTAAAATCACGCCAGAAACCATCTTTAAGAAGCAACTATGCGCAGGGAATCTAGGACGGAAGAACCTCTCAGGACCGGGGGTGATGGTGGCGATACCAGGAGGGAAAGAGGAGGTAGTAAGGGGGAATGGATCACAGGAGCCACATATGGCCTCCTCTCTGGGGGACGGGCAGCAGCGGGGTGGGTGAAGGGAGGCACCGGACAGTGTAATATAAGATACAATAATAATTTTTAAATTATTAAGGGTGCATGGGGGAAAGGGGAGGAGGAAGGGAAGGGGAGGGGGGAAAAAAAAAAAAAGGAAAATGAGCGGATTCCAGGAACCCAAGAGGCAAGAGAATTTTGGGAATGATGAGGGCAACAAATGTATAGATGTGCTTTTACACAATTGATCTATGTATTGTGATGAGTTGTATGAGCCCCAATAAATTGATTAATAAAAAAATAATAATAATAAAAAATTATATGAATGGGGAAAAAAAAAAAAAGAAGAAGCAACTATGGGCCTGTCCCCAGCTGTGGCCAAGAAGAGGAAGGCAAGTTAAAGGACACAAGTTGTCCAAAGGACTCACGGACCATGGGTACCGTCTCCACTCCCCTGAGGACCAGAAGAGCTAGAGGCTGAGGGTCCACTGCTGACCAATCTGAGAGGTATCACAATACTAGGTGTTGGCAAAGAGGGAGGGAAAAATGCAGAACAGAATTTTAAAAATAAAATAAAAACAGCTTGAGACTGACGGCCGGCCCTCAGGCATCCTTCAAACCTGGAGATCAACTCATCCCCTGGGGAGTCAACAAAACCGATCAACTCAATGAGTCAATTAAATGGTTCAGCTAAACTATTGATCGGCCTATAAAGCGAATACTAACACTCGGGAGGGTTTACTCCTCAGTACAAGCAACTATACGAGAACAAACCCTTGTCCCCAACAAAGCTTAGAAGGCAGTAAAGGGCAGGAAGAAAGGACACAGGAACTCGGGGGAGGTCAAAAGAGGGGATTGCAGCAGATGTCATGAAACCAAGTGGACATACATGGCTCAGTGGAAGACGACTTTGCTCTGTCGACTTTTACCCAAGTGACAATAAAAACTTAAAACAAAAAAGAGGACACTTTCAATGCATGCCTAACTTACCGGGGTCCTCACATAGCCTTCCAACTCTGTGCAGACCTGCGACAGCCCAAAGCAGAAGCACGGGCTGCATCCCGAGGGGTTGCCGGCCTCGAGGGCGTAAGTGCCACTTTTACACACGTCACACCGGAGGCCAACAACATTTTCCTAAAGAGGAAAAAATAATAATTCACTCACTTACCTGAAAAAGCAAAGAGATGATTTCTGAGCAAACAGAAGCAAAATGAAACAACAAAGGATTTTAGATCACAAGCTAGCTGTTTAGATCAAAAGTTAGCAAGATCCCTTTCCTCCTGAGCATCTTTAAAAAACAAACAAACAAAAAAACCTACTCAATCAGTGATTCCCTAACATGAGTATCAGAAGCATCTTGGACGGATTGGGGAATCAAAGTTTTCTGGCCCAATCTCATGCCCCTGGGATGATGACCCCTTGGGGCTAGAGACCCCAGTCATCTGATGACCCCTAAGGTGGGGTAGGGGGTAGGGTTGGGGAACTAAGTCAGATCCCTTCCAGTTCAGCTCACTTGGAATAAGAATGGTTAGCATGACATTTTGGCAAGCCAAAAATGTAGACTTGATGTTTCCTTTAATGTGTGGCCATGCCATCTCAGTGAGCTTAAGGACCTCCTCATCATTCTCACACTTCTCTCCTTCCCGTCCTCCTGCCTTCCCTCCCACCCCTGTAAAAAATCGCAGAGGGAAACAGGGGCATCCTAATGACAAAGCACAATGGGAAAACGGAAGGAAATATATGAGAAGGAAAAGATGCCATTGAAATATTACCTATCTGAGAAAATGATAAAAGACTAATTCCCTTCAGCATGGCCAGCACATATAAGAAAATAATGATTTACCAGCCACAAAATCACAAGTCTTTGTGAAAACCTGTCTTATCTATCTGACTTGTATACTCAAGGTAGGTGGTTCCAGCCCACCGGAACACATGGGAGGACACGTAAGTGTAATTCAAAGCAGTTTCACCACCTGACACTTGAACAGAAAACAGTTCCGTTAAAGAGTCCACCCATCATTTCAAAGAACGTACTCATAATTTAAACTCCGAGGTAGAGAGAGTAGTGTAAATTCATTTCAGGAAGAGCCATTAAGAGGAGAGTTTAAGATCTAGCTGCTCATTTATTTCATTAAAAGTATGAAAGTCAGAATGATGGGCGAGCGAGAGGCAAAGGGGTGCCGTGGCAAATACCTTGCACGAGCAAGTACCAGTTTCTTCTTCACAGCTGCAAAGACCCTGGTCCTGATCACAAGTGTCCTCCAATGTCCCCCGCAGGTCACAGGCACAGGAAACACAGGCTGGAAAGTCTCTGTGCCCCAAGGAGCACTGGTCACAATTTAAACCTCCGAAGGTGGGCTTGCATTGGCAGCGGCCAGTAAACAGGTCACACTGTTGACCAGTGGATCCTACCCCGCTACAATTGCATGCCTGAAAGAAAAGCACGTAGATCGGTCAAAGGGCAGTATTTACATTCAGAAGGTACACATATTTGAATGACAGAAAAGTACTTATTGTGGGGAAATTATGTAAAGGAGCCATACTCGCCCTCACTATTGCCACGTGGATACACTTTGTTGTGTGCCTGTGGGAGACAGACTGAAACTGTGCATCTCTCACACACCTGCACGGTGGGCCGAAACGGGAACTCAAACTAATGTGTTCAGTATGTCAAAAGAGACCAGCAAAATTATTTTAGAAGTCAAATAGATTTTCTTAGCTTTAAGGCAAAACATTTTTCTGGCTGAAGAAAGTTACAGAGGAAACTATCGCCCGAACGATGGCACACGTTCTTGTGAATTGCTGCCGGCTCGGTTCTACCCAGAGCCACAGCGGGTGCAGAGACCCCTCCACAGGGTTTCATTGCCTTCTGGAAGCGGATTTCCAAGCCTTCCTTCCAGGTCATCCCTGGTGGAACGTCCAACTTTTGGGGTAGTAGTTGAATATTTAACCATTAGCATCAACCAGACTTCTAAAAACTGAACATAACTCCATGATAAAGTGATTTGTGCCTTTCTCTTGAAAGATGGTATACATTGCATAAGACATTTAAAGGGCACTAAAATAAAAATTTGATCTTCCCACTATCAGTTAGGTACAGATAGGGACTGGAAACACAGGGAATCCAGGGCGGATGACCCCTTCAGGACCAGTGGTGTGAGTGGCGATACTGGGAGGCTGGAGGGAGGGTGGCTTGGAAAGGGGTAACTGATGACAAGGATCTACATGTGACCTCCTCCCTGGGGGACGGCCAACAGAAAAGTGGGTGAAGGGAGATGTCGGACAGTGCAAGATATGACAAAATAACAATTTATCAATTATCAAGGGTTCATGAGGGAGAGGGAGTGGGGAGGGAGAGGAACAATGAGGAGCTGACACCAAGGGCTCAAGTAGAAAGCAAATGTTTTGAAAATGAGGGCAATGAATGTACAAATGTTCTTGACACAATGGATGTATGAATGGATTGTGATAAGAGTTGTATGAGCCCCAATATAATGATTTAAAAAAAAAAGATAACAGCCTTCAAAACTTGCTGGGGCTACTCGCCCTATCGAGTCGCTCCAAGTGAGAGGGGACCCGATGACAAAGGGAACATCAATTGCACAACTGGGTTTTCAAAAGAACCTGAGACTGTGCCTTGAGTGTGCTGCTTCTTCCATTTTGGTTCCAATAGCTCAAAGTAAGTTTTAAATGTTAACCTCAAAACCATTAAACAAGTTAAAATCAAACAACCGTACTAATGAAAAAGAAGGAGTCATGTTACAGCACAGTAACCCGCGATTTAGAAGAGGCATAGAGGGCAGCCCACACCTTGCATCCAAGTTCCAGGTCATGGCCCCAGAACCCATCCTCACATTCTTCACACTTCCAGCCCCGAGTGTGAGGAGGGCAGGTACACGCTCCAGAGTCTGGATCACAGGAATTCCCGGTGTGAGCACAGTCACAGGCTGCAATAAAAACAAGTGGGTTTGTCACACAAAACCATGATCAGTGAAAATGGAAGAGTAAGGGTTAGTGTTAGCAGTTCATTGTCTTTTATTAGTAATCTAAATCATTCTTCTAGATCCCTCGTGACCCCTGAATCCTGCATGTATCATCGGATATTGTTGTTCTTCTACAACAGAAGAGGCTGCTGGGAGAGAGAGAATGGGGGCAGAGCGGGAAACACTGAAAAACACGTCAATACATGAAAAGAGAACATAAAACGAATGTGTATTGAGCACCTACTGTGCGCCAAATGCCATAGTAAGGACTTTACACACACCCTTTCCCTAGCTTTTTAAAGCAGATTTTAATTATTGGAAACTAAGACCTAGGGAAGTCAGGTAATTAAGTTCACATAATTAGTGAGAGTAAGAGCCAGGACTAAATGCTTCTCTTGGTGCCCAGAATAGAGATCAGGAAACAGAAAATAAAAGCATAACATCCTACATTTATAAAAGAAAAACAAGAAAAGAATTTCATGGAATTTAGACAGACGTCAACATAGTTAAAAGTTGGGGAATTATTACAAGGTCATAAATAATGAATTCAAGAGCTTACGTGTGCAGCGACCGTCCTGGTATGCGAAAAAGCCATGTGCACACCTGTCACACCTTTCCCCGGCTACTCCTGGGACACAGTGGCATTGGCCTTCATCTGTGCAGTGATCCGAAATGGACCCGGACGTGTGGCAGTTACAGGGCCGGCAGCCAAGCCCTGTGCTCCACCCATAGTATCCACTCTGTTTCACAAGGCAAGAAGAACCAGGGAGATCAGTCCTTGTCTTCACATGCAATGAACTTATCATATAATGTTTTCTAAATCACACATAGGGCGCTTCCCAGAATCATAAAGTGTGCTCACGTAACTCACTCCTTTATAAAGTGACTAAATTCTCGACACTTGGGGAAGAACAACTTGCACCAACCACGTTCTTTCTGCTAGTCATGAATTCAATACAATTTAATAGCGGTTAGAATGTCAACTATAAGCAATATAGGCAAGATTTTAGTTTCATGCCATGACCTGGAAGCCTCTTACCAAGCACTGGTCACACTGCTGTCCGGTCACATGCGGTTTGCAGTCACAGAGCCCAGTCGCATGATGGCAAACATGAGAGCGGGACCCTTTCTCCTGGCATTCACAGGCTAACACGGGTGTGTGAAGATGGAAAGAAAAACAGAGAGACATCCATTTAAGTATTTAAACAGGTATGCTGATAGCAAAATAATTTTATCCCCTGAAAGAAGCAGTTTACACATTGATGTTTAAAACATTGATGTAAAAAATACAAAGTTAGTTGGCAAAAAGTTTTAACAGTTTACATTTTTATGGACAGTAAGCCTAAGCAGGGTTAGTGTAAGAAACCATAACAGAAAAAGAATACACGGAAGCTCTTAAAAATAAGAATTAGCAAACTTAGTTGACTAATTTCATTAATTCTTTGAAACTTAAAATAAGCTACTTATGAGTAATAATTGAACAATACACGAAAAGTGTTGAAACGGCAAGCCCTTTTCAAGGATCGATTCCTCTGCTTGAGGCGAGGTAGTGGGTTCCAGCTTGCAGCAACTCTGTGCGTCCGAGTACATCTGTTTCCTGAGGTTCTTTGTCACAGAAAACCAAGTCTCACAACCGGACCAAGAGGTAACATCATTATAATCAGAGGACATTGAAGTTATCAAAGACTTTGACTTGCAAGGGTCCACAAGCAATGCTCATGGAAGAAGCAGTGAAGAGATTAAATGGCAAATTATATTGGGTAAATCTGATGCACAAAACCTCTTTAAAGTATTGAAAAGCAAAGATATTACTTTGAGGACTAAGGTGTGCCTGACTCAAGCCAGGGTATTTTCAATAGTCTCCTATGCGTGTGAAAACTGGGCATTGAATAAGGAAGACTGCCTAAAATGGATGCATTTGAACGGTGGTGCCGGTGAAGAATGCAGAAAGTCCCATGGACTGCCGGAAGAACAACAGCTCTGTCTGAGAAGAAGTCAGCCACACTGCTCCTGAGAGGCAAGGATGGCAAGCCTTCGGCTCCCGTACTTTGGACAGTTCCGTCAAACATACAAGAACGCTTGTGAGGCTGGTGCAGGACAGCGTGGAGCTTGGTACCTCTGTGGGACCCAGGCTCCCTGTGGTACCCAGGAACCAACACAAGGCCCTTAATGACAACACAGAGATGGTTTTCTAGAAGGCCCTGGGAAAATTCCATTACTGTTTAATTCCATTTCCCACAAACTGTGTGCCCCCTCCACACCCCCACACAGTTTTGGCACTACCCTACATCTTGAAATCCTGTCTGCCTTGAAAAACTAGTCTCCCTGCCCTCACCAAGATGGCATTCCTGAGGACCACTCGTCATCCCTGGCCAGCCCTTGGGGCAGGGTGAGTAAAATGGGGAAATAACGCGAGCTCCCATAACGGAAAAGTGCCTATTTTCTCCCTGATTGTACCTTCATCCCTAGTAACGAACCAAGCTGCCAGGGTGGGTGGGGGGAGGAAAGAATCTGTTCTTGCAACTATATTATATCAATTTGAAACTCAGTATCAATACCAGGACCACTCAGCTGCCCAGCAGACTGAGCCTATTTGACAGCTGATCTAATTTGATGCGTAAAGGCTTCAGAGACCAGTGCATAAAGGATTCAACTTCATCCACCACACACTCACCACGGCAATTCTTCGCCACCACAGCATCCCCGTAGAAGCCATCGGCACAGCGTTCACAGTGGGCCCCTCCCGTGTTCCCGGTGCACTTGAGACATTCCCCTGTGACCGTGTCACAGGAGCCAGCCTCTAAGGGATCCACATTGCCACTGCAATTGCACGGGACGCAGGATTCCCCGGGCACTGTTGGGTTTCCATAGTAACCGTCTGCGCATCTGTATAAAAGATTGAAAGTGGCATGCAAATCAATGCAATTATTCAAGACATTGCTGCACCATCTAGGGACACCCTGAATGGTCAATAAATCAGACGGACTGTTTTACTGAAAACTGACTGAAAGAGTGATGTTCAAGCTCAGGCATTCACAGAATTTCCCGGCCCATTGGGAAGAGCAGGCAATGTGTCCCAGACCAGACACAAATCCATGTGGGGCAGTTCTACCCACCCCCGCTGCCCACTAAAGGGTTTCACATACTCCCTCAGCGGACTTCTCTAGAGCTTTCCCTGAGACTTACACTTGGGGAGAGGCAACACTGGCTTGCAAGTGCCCGAAGTAAACTATTAAATCCAGTCCCCCATCACACAAGGGATTCTTCCGAGTGATACATTGCTTAAATGTGGGAAAACCTTAGTACCGACTCCTCACGAGTTCATATTTTCTTTGACGAGAACTTGGATGACCTATTAGAGCTATAATACATACTGTTTATTAAAAATTCACCAGAAGTTTTAAAGTTTATTTTTAAATGGCATACAGTCTTTTTCTCTACAGGGACCCTGGTGGGGTAGTGGTTACGTGTTGGGTTGTTTACTGCCTGATCAACTGTTCGCAACCACCGGCCTCTCGGTAGGGGAAAGAGGAGGCTTCCTACTCCTGTGAAAAGTTGCCATCTCAGAAACCTATAGGGGCTGTTCTGCCCTGACCCACGAGTCACTGTGCGCAGGAATCTCAGATGGCAGGGAGAAGAAAGCGTTTCTCTACAATTACATGAACTATCAGTGACATGTTAAAGCACCCCTATTTCCCTAGACACCAAAAGAAAAAAAAATACACACGTCACTTATATTTCACTTAAAATTTTAATGTGATGTACAGTGTTTTGTAAGCAGGTGTGTGCGGCAAAGTACCTCTCGCACCATGCTCCTGTGTATCCGGGGGCACACTGGTCACAGAGCACCTCATCTCCTTCTGTCACGTGGCAGGTGGGGCTGAAACTATCAAACAGTAGAAACAAGCACAATTTGCATCAGCCACTGTTGGGGGGGAGCCCAGCCTGTCTAAGTACAGAAACTGCTGAGTGTCCACCCTGTCGATCCTCAAGATTTCCCTGCGTCCATGGCCACTTCGCCCATGGACCCTGGAACCAAAGGTTCTGGAAAACCCTGCCTTCTTTCCTCTAGGGAATGTGTCCCCATCACGTGCCTCCGTAGGACGAGCACTCACTGCTCCCGCCCCAGCTCCAGCCCTGCCTGTCCCCAGCCTCGAGTGCTCTTGGTCAGGTCTGTCCCAGCTAATCTCCAGTTCCCAGGCCGGCCATCACTTCCTCCTGGAAGCCCGCTTGGATACTTCTGCTCCAGACCAGTCTCTCCCCTCCAGCCCCCCTCGCGCTTGGCATAACACACTGTTCCTCTGCCTCACTGGAGGGGACTCCCTTACTATTCAAGACCCCTTGAACGTAGGACTCGACATTCCCCCAGGGCCCCCACTGCAGCTCAGGTCCCTCCTCCATCTTTAACCCTAATGAACACTGAGCAAACGTGACACGCTTAGTATCTCTAAAGCCTTGCTCCGAAGAGATTAATATTCATCTTGAAGGAACTGTTTGTGGGGAAAGTTTTACTCTTTCTGGGGTGGGAAGAGGTACCCTGACCACTCTGGGCAGGGACAGCTGGTGGTGCTGGGAGGCATACTTGTTGGAGGCTGTGGAGAGAGGGCAGGCACAAGGCTGGCAGTCTCCAGGGGTTCCTCGGGATGGCACCCCATAGAAGCCGGGCAGGCACTGCTCACAGTGGTCCCCAGTGGTGTTGTGCGTACAAGCCTAGGGCACAAGGAAAAGACACTCAGCTCCGATTCCTTCAAGGGCTTGGACTCAATGACCGGCAATGCAAAATCCCAGGGAATCCCAAATTAGGTGGAGATAAACCACTCAAACAAGACACCAAACTCTCTGTTACATGAAAAATAGTTGTCTGTTTTCAGAATCATTAATGCAATTTTTAATTTGCATACATGGGAAAGGTAAGAAATTCCACTTCTATGTCAGACTAACTGGACCCAGACTTGCCCCATATAGAAAACAATTAAAAATGAGAATGAAACATAGCTAACAATTGCTTTTAGACCCCAGACAGCAAAGTGCAGGTCTGTGACCCTGGAGAGGAGGAGACCAGCTGAGGTGGTCTAGAGACAGCTGCGCTGGCCGGTGAGCCCGAGCAGACCACATGGTTGGAGAGGTCAGCGCTATGAGAAGTCGGGGACAGCAAGGCTTCTGACAGTCTGCAACAGGAGCTCCTTCAAATAGCTACTGACAACTAAGCTCTTCAGCCCTAGTGGCACAGTGGTTAAGCACTCAAATTGCTCAAAACCGATGACAAACAATGGAAGATATAAGGCAATAGAACATCTTTCCTTAAAATACTGGTAGGTTTCTTCCTGGTATGCTTTGGTCTGGAATCTGCTGGAACTTCCCCAGCATCCTATAAATACTCATATGAGTGTAGCATTCATTTTATACTGGATTTTCCAGGTTTTAAGAGCGACTGAATGTTATTCTAGACCAGTGCTTCCCACTGGGACTTGCATGCAAACCACCTGCGTTACAGGAGATTCAGACTCAGTGGGTCTGAGGTGGGTCCTAAGAGTTTGCATATCTTAGAAACGCCCTGGCCATGTCTATATTGTCAGTCATCCGAGAACACTTTAAGTAGCAGAATCTTACACTCTTTTTGCTTGCTTTCCTCAGACACTGATTTTGGTAATTAACCCAAGTCAATTAAAAATACAACTGGACTCTACACCAGGCGTCCTCAAACTATGGCCCGCAGGCCACATGCGGCCCGCGGGGGCATTTATCTGGTCCACCGGGTGTTTTTGCCCCATTTTTGTTTTTAACTTCAAAATAAGATATGTGCAGTGTACATAGGAATTTGTTCATAGTGGTTTTTTTTTACACTATAGTCCGGCCCTCCAATGGGTCTGAGGGACAGTGAACTGGCCTACTGTTTAAAAAGTTTGAGGACCCCTGCACTACACGATTGAACTAAAAGTATTAAGCACAATAACTATTATTTAAGAAAAATATTTAATTAGGTTCACCTGCAACATGTGGTTGATGTTTTCTTTGATTGACGGGCCAGGTGTGTTCTCTGTATCTCTGGGGAAAAAAACTACGAACATCTACTATTGCAAAACCTACCACCTGTGTGTTTAAGTGTTTTCTCAGGTGTAAGCTACCCTCTCTCTAAAGGACCACCTTATTAATGTACTTGGTATGTGAAGGATGAGAAGAACATTTATCACCTTGGAGAAGAAAAATATTTCTTTATTAGGAAGAAAATTAATTCAGGGCTCAAGTCACACACACACACACACACACACACACACACACACACACTGCGTTTCATGCCCCCTCCCTTTTCAAACGCATGCCAAACTGCAGTTATTTAAACAGATCAACTTTTTTTGTGTACTTAAACTCCAATCTCAAATGTTGTTATTTTTTAATAGTACCCCCACCTCAATCATATCTGAAAGTGGAAAAAGGATAAGTTTACAGTGGGAAAGCCTGACAGACAACACCAAATGATCAAAGTTGACATCACTAGGAACTAGACATATTGACAAACTTCGCCTCTGTATAGGGTGACTCTGGGTGGTATAAGTGGATAAGCCCAAACTATTAGTTAAGAGACTGGCATTTTGAATGCACCTAGAACCCCTGGTGGTATAGTGGTTTTGCGTTGGGCTGCAATCCATAAGGTCCGCAGTTCAAAACCACCAGGTGCTCCTTGGGAGACAGACCCGCCTGTTTTCTATTCCCCGAAAGCGTTACAGTCTTGGAAACATGGGCAGTCTACCCTGGCCTTCAGGGTCAGATGAGTCAGAATTGACTTGATGGCAGTGATTTTTTTATTCATTTGTCTTGTTTTTAGTTTAAGAGGAAGTCAGTTCTGATTTCTTTTAAGCTTCTTCTAAGGTCACATTTTTTAAAAGCCTATGGAGCAGTTCTATGGCATCGCCATGGATCCGAGTCATCTTAAAGGCAGCGAACAACAATTCCAAAAAACTCCTCCTACGATATGCTTACAGGGCTCACTGGTGACAGCATTCTCACTTTTCCTGCAGAGACTCGGCATGTACTTTCAATTCCTGGCCAAGGCACCTCACACACAATCATCCCCCCCAGCCGGTGGTGGTTTGAATGTGGCTAGGATGCTAAACAGGTCTCAGGGGCACTTACAGACTACATTGGACTTAAAAGAAGGTGATCTACTTTTGGAAATGTGCCACATGAAAACTTCGTCACAATATGCAACCCCAAACGGATGATGGGGATGGTGCCAAGTCCGGGAAGCCTGATGTTCCTTTGTGCATGGGGTGCATGGGCATGAATCACAGGGCCAAATCAACAGCCGCTAGCTAATGACAACAGAATGGCACCTCACCCCCACGTTTTTGGTAAAAGTGCATAGCCTTCATCTTATCACAAGTAAATATCAGACAAGCTCTAGCTGAGAGACATTCCACAGAAGGTCGAATACTCATCATAAGCCTCAGTCACGAAGAACTGTCACAGACTAGAAGATACAAAGCCACTAAATGCATTGGGAGAGCCTGCGTTTGATCCAGAACGGAAGCGAGACATGAATAGAAAACCCAATGAAATCTTAATAAAAGCTGTACTTTCATCAATAGAATTTTGCAACTGCTAACTTCTTGATAATTGTAATGGTACTTTGTTACACACAGGCAATCTGTATCCTGTTTTGTGACTCTTCTATACGTCTAAAGTTTTCACACAAACAATCATTTCAAATGGCAAAAGCGTTTATTGTGCACGCTATCGGATGGGCTATGTGTGTGTAAACATGCACTAGCAGAAGCCAGTGGGGTTGCTCTTCCCACCTCACTGTCTCTAAAGGCACACCCTGCTGGCTGCCCTGCGAGTGTTGGCGAAAAGGGTGGCGGACAAATGCAAAGGGAAAGGAAACACGAAAAGGCAGCAACCTGGTCAAATAGTTCCAAGCTGGTCCTCTGAGAAAACGGATTCTAAAGGGATTGTGCTTGTGTGCAATCCCTACAGACTCAAAGGATTGCAGACAAAGCAAAACTGGGCTCTGGGGAGCACAAAGGATGGATATGGGGCACCATGAGGGGAATCTCTCCAGGCTCTGATCATGAATTTCCCACGCCAGTGACTCCACCCATCTCAGTGTACTAATTAGCATATGAATTCATTCTATCTGAGAGGATTTTTTTTAGCACCCAGGAGCGTGGTGTGGCCTGGTTTAAGGCATGAGAGAACAATACATGATGAACTTATTTCCACTTCTACCAAAGAATTTTTTCTTCAAAAAAAAACCAGGCAAATTTCATACCATAGACTAATGTCACATTTTTTTCTTTATGGTTTCAAGGTGAGTGAAAGAAGTATGTTCTACGACTAACTTCTCCTCAGTCCATGACTCTGGAGTCGGAGGACATGGACATTCCAAGTCTCCGCAGCAGACTCACCAAGCAGACGCCGTGAGGATCGCACTCAGTTGCGTGGCCGTGGCATTCACAAGGCTGACAAATCCCCCCAAAGAGGATTCCGTCCACTCGGTAATAGCCCGGGAGGCATGACTGAAAAAGAAGGGCAGGGGACCGTGCTGTGGATGCAGCAGCAGCCTACGAAAGCCATCTGTCCTGCATGACCTTGGAAAAGGCAACTGCTCCGTTTTCCATGAGTAGAGAAAGTTATGCATTCCTTTTTGTAAAACAGCTTAAAGTGTCCTGCATATGTCAGAATCTTCATCCATTTTAAGTGTGCAATTCAATGATGTTGAGTAAAATTATCGAGTTTGTTCAATTATCACCATAATTCAGTTCTGTATTTCTTTTTTTAAGCATAGAAACAATTTAATGGTAATGCAATCAGTTGACATATAACTGAGTGGTATTCTGATGCAAAATTCTTAAACTAGAATTAGATCATATCAGCCATTTAATTAGTGTCACTAATCAGTCAAAAGGATGTTTTATTCTCAACTTTGTCTAAAATTCATTAAGTTTCCATTAAACAAATCACGAAAGTGCAAGCCTTTGTCAAACCATACTGGTTCAGTTTAGCAAACATCATAGGCATGCTTTCTCGGCGCTCCCCACTAGACAGGCGACAAGGGCATTGAGGGACACTCTTCTCTGTCTATAAGGAACAGGCGGTCAATCCTGTCACCACCTCAACGATCCTATGGCGTGATCCATTTTGATCACTGCAAAGACTGGAACATGTAACAACTGGATTCTCTGCCCAGTGCAACTACGGTGCGGTTCCAAGCCAGGAGTGCACACTTCTAAGAGCCATGTCAAAATTAGCCTGGGGCCAAAATGACTGTCAAATGAGACCTGGCTGGTCTAAAGCTGTTTGATCTACCATGCTGGTGACTTATACATGACCTATACAATCAGATTCAGGCTTCCTTACAAAGACCAAATAGACTATATTCAAATTGTCTCCTTTGGGAAGCAACAATCTAGGAAGTCTATCCACAATTCAATTTAATGATCAAAAACAGAATCCAACTTTTCCATCAGCAACCTAGTTTTCCATGGTGCTTAGCTGGATGCCACAGAAACGGGGATGGCGTCTATCTGCTCGTGATCCCGGGTTATCTGAGGAGTTGTTTCATTGCACTCCTCTAAGAGGGACTCGGAGAATAAATGTAGAGAGTGTAGACTTTGCGCTTCCTACAACAGTGTTTTCTGCAAGACAGCAGCCCTGAAATGGGTTATCTCCAGGTACCCAGCCCACCCTGCAGAGATATCAAGTATAAACAATGCAACTGCCTGTGTCCCCACAAATATTGGAAATTTATTGATAGCCTCAGAAAAGGTTTGAACCAAATATTGAGTTTCCAATATTCAAATTCAAATGGGTATGATACACTTTCAGTGCACACACCCCCTTCAACCCGAACCCCTACCCCAGACTTAAGCAAGAATGCAAAAGATGGCTGGGGGGGTCGGGGGCGAAGGCTTACCTCACAAGAGATGCCTGCATAGCCTGGGGGGCACTCACACTGCTCCACCTCAGAGGCCAAGTCGAGGTCTATAGCATTAGGGGTCGCTGTGTCCAGAGTGACGGAACTGAGCCTGTGAAGAGACAGGATTAGGTAGATGAATGTACACACTCACACACGATGCCCATGGTCTCAGAGAGCACTGGTTCTTATAAGAGAGAACTCCAAATGGGGAGGTGACTTTGGTACCTAATGGTTTTCACAATAGGCTTTCAGGAGCCATCATTATTCCCTTTCAACAACATCTACAACATTAGATGCAACCGTGTGCTTTGCCCATAGACAGTTAATGGCAATGGGTCTGCCCCTTGAAGTTGAAGCCCTTCAGGAATTTCCATCCATTCCAATCTCGTATCTCAGAATGCAGATATAAATAATAAATAATGTAATTACATGTTTCCTTTAGCTGCATCCAACTTTTAGGCTTGGCCAGCCACTTTTAGAATCGGATCTTCCTCAATAAAAATTTTTTTTTTAAAAAAGAAAGAAAAAAAGGAGTGAAATGTCCAAAGAGAGACAAATCACCTTAAGCATGCACCCAGACATGTCATTGATCTTAAAACAATGCAATACAAGATAGAAGTCACTTGGGATTTCACTCAGTCCAGGACTAATCTGTTCACAATGAAGAAACAGACTCCCACAGCTCAGCTAGAGATGGGATTGACACAATGGTGACTATCGAATTGTGCAGCCTTTATTTGACAATCAGAAGTGTGAGAACCAGACCCCCAAATGGGAGTGATAGCTGTTCACTTATCAGACATTTCTTAAAAGGTCTTGGAAAGTTTCAGATTCTTACAGCAAGCATCTCTCTAACAAGTTATATTTGTCATGACCTACTATTTTAATATCTTCTATAAAATCATGCTAATACCTATAATAAATTTAAAGATATCTAATATCACTGACAGTGTCTTTAGAATAGCAAAAGTAAGATATATTAAGTTTACAATACAAAACAACAAAGATGATGCCCTTCTCTTTGATGCATACCTGTAAAGGGCTATTTTCGCAGTATTGTAGTTGGCTCGGATCAAAAGATGCGTCACGTTGGCAAGGACGGTCATCAGCTGATCTCGATCTATTTCCCGTTTGGTATTAAAGTCTTGGAAGTTCTCAGGCACAAGTCTAACCACACCAAAGTACTCTTCGTAGGGTTGCAATAATAGGCCTTCAGCCCGGGTGTTTAAAGTGAATCCATTTCCCTAACATTTAAAAGCAAAAGGAAATTTCCATAATTCCATTTAATGATAAAAAAATCAAATCAAACACGAAATCCAGAGCCCCCCCAGAAACAGTCAGGGAAGTAGCAGTTCCCGGGGTACACGAGGGAGGTGGGGGAAGGGGTGTAAGGGAGAACTGATTAGCAGTGATGGATGTATAACCTCCCTTGAGGGGGATGAATAACAGAAATGTGGGTGAAGAGATACAGCAGTCGGTGTAAGATATGAAAAAGAATAATGATATATAATTTATTCAGGGTTCACAAGGGTGGTAGCATGGGGGAGGAGGGTAACAAAGAGGAGCTGATATCAAGGGGCTCAACTAGAGAGATAATGTTTTGAAAATGATGATGGCAACATATGTACAAGTTTGCTTGATATAATTGATTGATGGACTGATTGTTATAATATCTGTAAGAGCCCCCAAATAACATGCTTTCATATAAACATAAATAAATAAAATCAAGATTGTTTATCTATTCATCTGCTTAGGCTTTCATTATGCCTAGGCTGATCTGGTAAGAAATGTGACGATGTGTCTGACTGCTGGTCCAGGGTCCTCAGAGAAGAGCTTCACTCTTGTTCTCTATGAGGATTCCTATAGCAAGTCTGAAAGGTGTGGGCTTTGATGAGGTCTAGAGAGAGAAACAAAGGCATGGGTTCACCCTCGCTTGTATCAAAGAAACCAATCTGATCTCCCTCATCTTAAAGGATATCAAAGAAAAGGTATATAACATGTGCTTCCAGCATGCCTCAAACTGGCTATTCACACAGATCTATCACCAGACACCGCTGAGAGGGAAGGCACAGGGGAGGCAGCAGACACTGGAGATCAGGAGCTGAAACCGTTTTTTTGCTCCACTGTCCTGCAGGCTCCGTGGTGCCGACACCCCGGGAAGTCGTGGGAGTGCGTGCTCTGTCGAAATGTGTCTTTTGACGAAAGAGGGGTGGGGTATGGCAGAGGGCGAGAACTGAGAGAAACTTACACAAGTGGCAGAAGGAACCGGTCCCCTGGGTGCCAGCATGGCCTAATTAGTTCATTTGGGAAGGCAGAGGCAAAAGGAGGGAAGTAGGGTGTGTGGGACTAAAAGAGTAATTCTGAACTCAGAGCAAAAACTCACTTCCTTTTCAAGTGTGAGAAGATGGGCAAGCTGTAGTGACCCAGAAGAGATAAATGAATGGCCAATTGGCCACTTGGTCATGACTGCTGGTTAGTAAGACTTCCCTGAGCCACTGCTATTCACAGAGCTTGGGCCAGCCGCAAAGCAATATGCAATTACCTTCACGATGACATCTGTCTGAGACACGAGGTCACTGTCCGCTGCCTCCACTGGAATATCATAGGACACCGTGTATTTCAGGAACCCACCAAATGCAGTCAACTGGAATGATTAAGTTAAAATGTACACTAAAAGGAAGAAGACTCTCAGTCCTAAGTGACAGGGATTGGGCACTCACCTGGGACTGAAACCAACCAGGCCACAGTACATAAAGGTGTTCCCATTAAAGGCCCTGGCTTGAGAAGATTTTATTAACAAGTATTACTGAAATGCCAGACATTGCCGAAGTGCCCAGAAAAGAAATACGTGCCTCCTCAGACATCCCAAAGTAAGCTTCTTGACATTTCAGCTAATTATGCAATAAGCTTTATTTCATTTAAGTATTTTAGAAGTAAGGGGTTTGATCTGCGACCACAACCTCCACATGTTCATCGCTGGTCCTGCTTACAGGCGAACAACAGGGAGCATGATACGCTGTTACGGCCATGCCAGGGCAAGGTATTAGTGAAACCGAGATTCCTTTCTGACGGTGTGATCATTGTATGCGTCCACTTGGCTAGGCCTGGGGCCCTAGTTTCTTGATCTAATTCTAGACTTGACAGTGCTATCAGGGAGCTTGTTCATGGGATGATCGCTTACAATCAGTTCCCTCGCAGTATTAGAGATAACTCCTGTGAGGAGACTTCATCCAACCAAGGAAAGGCCCCAAAAGTGAAAACTGAGGTTTCTTGGAGAAGGAATTCGGCTTCCAGACAATAACAAAAACCCAGCTGCCCTCTAAGTTTTCAATGCCAGTCTGCAGCATCACTGCCTGCGTGAGTTTAGCCAGCGGGCCTGCTCCATAGATTTTAAGCTTGGCAGTCTGTGAATCAGTTCCTTTAATGAAAATGCCTGTTGGTTCTGGAAAACTGTGAATGATACAGATTGGGGGGTGACCGCAACAAACAATATAATGTTCAGAGTCCAATCTTTGCACTAAAAACAGACAGCGACTTCAAGTGGTGGGAAAATAACCTCTCTTTATAAGACCATGCTTCAAGAGAGCACAGCTTCTAGGGTTGTAATTTGAAGGAGAAATGAACTGAGATGTAGTCAATCAACATGGTCCTTCTAGCCATATTACTTTATGAGCTGCATTACAAATCCCGGTCTCTTTGCCTGTGGCTATAGTACTCTGCTTTTAAATATATAAATTAAAATTTTGAACCAGGTCAGGGGGAGTAGGTTCCATTTCAGACCTTCAGCTCTGCATTTAACTGTACAAACCACTCATCACCCACCTCCCCACAAGCCCTGTAGTTCCACTCCCCCTCTGCCTCCACCTCTGATTTCTCTTCTCCCTCTTAAGGACCACCGCCCATCCTCCCTTTCACCCAAATTAATACCTGTAAACCTTCTAATCTATTGTCCCCTCTTCCACCCCTTGCCCTCCATGCCTTGGGAACCTCCAAAGTCAGTTCCCTTTGACATGCAAGACATACTCTCATTAATGGTAACTTAAGCAATAGCCATTTAGTAAAAATAAACACTATTTTAAAACACATAAAGCAAGTTGTAGAAAATTAAAATATAACAAATATTTTACCAAGTTACAATGAAAGTGAAGTATTAGCATTATTTTAAAACATATTAAATGCATTGTTAAGATCAGTGGGGAACTACAGCTATTGGGATAGATAATTTCACTTGATTGATTGCATATGTCCAGTTTAATCAGAATCTGGGTAAAAGTGGTATAATTGAGAAGAAGGAATGCGTTTATGCCATTGACAGAAAAGATTAAATCATATAAACTAACTCTCTAAATGTCAAATGACTTTTGCATTTTATTAACATTTTCTTAAATTCTGTTCCTGCTTGTGAACTTTGTGTAGGTAACTATCTGTACTAATAATGAAAGAGAAAACAATGGATTCCAAAAAACTTTGAGTGCTTTCTATTTTCTGGGCAGCTTTCAAAGCCAGGGCGACGTTAAGAAAAAGTATGACTAATAATGAACAAAATAAGAATGTGTCTAATATTTTATTAAAAGCCCAAATGATTCAAGAACTCAAAAAGAAAATGTTTGTCACTGGAGAAGACTTTATGAAATAGTGTTCCAATGAACTCAGCAAAGAGCGAGTGTTCTTATTTTAACGATGCATAAAACATGGTTTAAGGATTATAAAAAGATACCATAATTCAGATGCAAACAAATACTGTGACAGTTTCTGTCAGATGTTCAGTGACCAATAAAGGTATTTAAATTGCAAACAGAACTTCTTTCTTAGTATGCTGAGATCTTGCCCAAGATGCCCTAACTTCCATTAAGGACTTACCTTATTTCCTAGATATGCCTTAGGAGCTGACCAGTAGTACTTAGAAGTTAACCTTTGCAAAACTGCGGAGTTGTTGATACTAATTTGGTGAAATCCACTATGAAGAGCCTGCTGAGGCTGGATCCTATTTGAACCGATCAAGTCAGTGACCAGCCACCCAGACATGTCATTGATCTGAAAAATAATGCAATGATTTTAGAACATAAACTAGAAGCTTAGATTTCACCCAGTCCAGGACTAATATGTTCAAAATGAATAGACCCACACAACGCAGCTAGTGATGGGGTTAATGCGACTGGGACTCCAGAAATTGTGCAGCCTATGTGTGACCTTTCTTTTTATCAAAAGTCCAGAGAGACTGATGAAGCAGTTAAATGTGTCCCTCAAAATCAGATCCATTACGAGAATGTTAGCTAATAAAACGATAAGGGTTGTGGATATACATTTGAGATTGAAAAACAGCAAAGAACTTAAGAAATACATTAAGTAAAAGGTCATTTGCTAATTCTGACCCTCCCTTCCTTGTTGTCCCTTTACTCAAATGCCAAAAAATACATAGAAATATTTTCTAGAATCTGTATTTTCAATTTGCCAATGACATCGACCTGACAAAGGTAGCCCCAGTTCTTTATTAAAGAGCTACTTTAAATACAAGACGGGGAGGCAGGGACTCACCCTCGACACCAGTCCCTTGAGATGGGGGAGAGTTGGGAAGACAGGTGGTCACCTGCAGGGGTCACCCACCCCTGCAGTCCCTTGCTGCCCTCCAGCCATCCTCCTGCTTCCTTTTTCACTTGCCACCCTCTCTCTGACCTCTGAACTTCTCATTCTCCAAAAAGCTGGGCGTTCTGGAAAATTCTGCAGGACCTGTGTCCTGGTGTGTTTCCCTAGCCTGAGGCAAGAGCGGAGCAGGTGGGCTGAAATCTGACCTGACCACTTGATAAATCTTCCAGCATTTTAAGGTTCTTAAATAGGATGCATTCTGCTACAGCATTTCATCACATAATTTATAGGACAATGTATGTAGGGACAAATACATAACCTTTCATGGAACGTCAAGACACAGGTCACTTTTAGCAGTGGGACTGCCTGCCGTTGGCATGTGGCAAGGCCATTCTTAGTGGATGGGAGTGATGTGCAGACACGGTGCAAGTCAGCCTCATTGCTTCCCAGCCACAGCCCAAAGAGCCCATGTGAGTGCGTTAAATACTTGCTTGTCACCCACCTGGCGGATGGGCCAAGAGAGACTCTTGCAGACGTTAGACACACCAAAGCAGAAGCACTCGGAGCAGCCCCAGGGGTTGCTGTCCTTCAAGTTATAGAATCCGGGTTTGCAGCGATCACAGTCTTGCCCCTCGACATTTGCCTGCAATGTGGAGGAACCACTTTTGAAATCAACGTGTTCAGAAAGATAGTATTTTTTAAAGTGACATTAATAAGAAAGGCTGTGGAGCGACAAAGAATGAAGTAGATAACGAAGTAAACAGGATGTGAATCTTTTCAGAAGGTGGCTGGTGGTTGTTATGCACTGACATGTGTTTTCTAGCTCACAGTGACCCTACAGGACAGAGTAGAACTGCCTCATAAGGTGTCCAAGGCTGTAATCTTTATGAAAGCACATTGTTATATCGTTCCAGAAGACCGACTTTGAAAAATGTATTACTTCATTGTGTAGTCAAAAACAAAACTAAGAAACTCAGAGCATGCGTATTATCCTGAAATGGCTTTGTATTCTTTTTCTATTTTACAACGGTCATTTCTGCTGCCCTTCCATACATTTTAAATTATGGAGAAAAGACAACTGCTCAATGAACAAACCCAGTGCCACTGAGTCAATTCATAGAGGTCCTTCATGAAGTTTCTGAGGGCTGTACTTCTTGACAGGAGCAGGTAGCTTTGTCTTCCTTATGCAGAGCCCCTGGGGGGTCTGAATTGCTAATCATGTGGCTAGCAGTCCAAAAATTACTCAACGACACCTCCAAATTCAAAACGCACTGCCATCGTGTCGATTCCGACCCATGGACCCTCTTGGGGTTTCCAAGATTGTAACTCTTTATGGGACTAGAAAGCCATAGCGTTGGACCTTTGTGCTTGTGAAACCACTAGGTCTTCAGCATGTCTTCAGAGACTAGAAGGTCTTCTTATTGGAACACTTGGACCCCTCTGATACCTTATGCTGACAAAATGTCTCAAGGTAAAGCAGATCACATCAACAGTCTTGGGGTCTGGTGTCGGAAGCAAAGAACGACAGTCTTATGGAGGAGTGTGTCCTGAGGCTGTGAATTTTGACAAATGCATTGTAGTAATATTTAAAAAGTATGCCTAATGATGTGCTTATGTGGAACTAAAATAATCTAAGGGAGGAAAAAGTCCTACACATTACCAGTGGAAATTGTTACTAGCATGATATTGTCAAATAAAACATCTAACTGCATCAGTTTAACATCTTGCTCATATTATTCAAGACTTTTAAAGAGGAATCCCCAACCACGTAACTGCCTTTAATTAATGCTTTTAAGAATTTCATATTTACTTGGTTCTCCTTTGCACATAAACCCGGAAAAGAAGGTAGAGAGGAAGGCAAGTTGTAAACCAAGATCTAATCAATCATCATCATCATCTATGCTTAGCTGCAATTCACCTTGTTGATGGATTTGCACTGTGGTTCAACTATAAGAACACTTGTGAGATGGTGCAGGACCAGGCAGTGTTTCATTTGGTTGTACATACCCTGTTTCCCCGAAAATAAGACAGTGTCTTATATTAATTTGTGCTCCCAAAGATGCGCTAGGTCTTATTTTCAGGGGATGTCTTATTTTTCCATGAAGAAGAATATGGTACACATTTATTGTTTATTGTTTTATTGAAAGAGACCTCTCACTTCCTGTCTGCTCTGGCTGTGCTGCGGCCAACAGTGAGCTGCACAGGAGCGCCCGCCGCTATGGTCCAGAGTCCAGAGTTACGGTCGCTTCGGGGGGCCTTATTTTCGGGGAGGTCTTATTTTCGGGGGATGTCTGACTTTTAGGGAACCAGGGTAGACAGACTCATTATAAGTCTGAACTGGCTCGTGGTACCTAACAGCACTTAGCTTCATTCTGTGAAGTCACAGAGATGCTTCTAGAGTCTATGGCCAGAGCTCATAGGGTACCAAAAACTCTGTGCTAGCTAAGTCCAAGGACATATATTATGGTCAACTCACTGGGACATGATGCCATACTTCTCAGGAAGGTATGGGGGAAGGGGTGCTCTCTTAACATTTTGCTTTAATCAAGACTAGCTTATCCAAGCCAAAGCCCCAAAGAAAGCATGCAGACACATGTCATCGTGGTGTCTCATGTACCTTGCAGAGACAAGGCTCTGTGCAGGGGTCTTCATTCACACTGCCAGCCGGACTGCACTCACAGCGGATACACTTGGGGTAACCCTTATAGCCAAATTGGCAGCGATCGCATTTTTCTCCCGTATAACCCTCCTTACATGGGCACTGCCCTGGCCATTTCCCTGGAGAGAAACAAATGACAATAACCAACATGAAGATGAAAGACATTTAAATCAAGATTCGGCAAGCGCTTTCTCTCTGTTACTATTACTCAGTTGAATCCTTGTTACTTGAATGGAACTACTGAAAGTACTTAAAGAATTAGCATGTTCTATTCCAATCTGTTTCACTCCGCTCAAGAGGAACTTGCACATGGATCAAGAGGCAGTGTGCTAACAAAACAAGGGAATGCTGCATAGGTTAAAATCAGCAAGGTTGTATCCCTTCACCATACTTACTCATTAAGCATTTACTGGTGAAATGAGGTTTTAGCCTTCAGAATAGACTAAAATTTAATGTAAAGAAGACCCAAATTCTAACAACTGGACTGATAGGTAACATCATGATAAAGGGAGAAAAGATTGAAGTTGTCAAGAATTTCATCTTGCTTGGATCCACTACCAATGCTCATGGAAGCAGCAGTTGAGAAATCAAACAAGACTTGCATTAGGTAAATCTGCTGCACAAGACCTCTTTGAAGTGTTGAAAAGCAAGGATGTTATTTTGAAGACGAAGGTGCACCTGCCCCAAGCTGTGGTATTTTCAGTAGCTTCATGTAACGCGAAAGTAGGACAAGGAATAAGGAAGACCAAAGACAAATCGATGCATTTGAACCATGGGGTTGGCGAGGCAAATGGAAAGCAGTATGGGCTGCAAAACCCAACAGATTTGGCTTGGAAGAAGAGCAGTCAGAATGGCCCTGAAGGGCAATGATGGTAAGACTTTATCTCACCGACTGTGGGCATGCTTTAAGGAGAGACCAGTCCTGGGGGAGGACATCATGCTCAGGACAGTGGAGGGGCAGCCAAAAAGAAGTAGGTCTTCAAAAGAAAGGGTCACTGAGAATGACCCTTTAGCACCTAACAACCACCTGATAGTACCTGATAGCACCTAACAATCACACCACCTTGATTAGAGTCACTTAAATATATATACCCCAGTAGAGGTATATATTTACCCCCCCCCCCGCACACACATATACACATGTATATATTTATGTATACATATACATATGTGTGTAAATTTATATATAAAACCACATACACCCATGTATCGATTTATGTATATACTAATATATGTGTGTATGTAATATATTTATGTATATGTGTATATAAATATGCACATATATACAAATACATATATTGAATATAACTATCATAGCAGATAGAAGTTCTTTTCAGGCAAGGAGCCTAACTCAGAGCAGGTGGAGAAGATTAAATTACTAGGAAAGGTCTGAGCGGCATGAAGAGCAAAGGTGGAGTTCGTTCTTCTCTAACAATGGCCTCTGTAAAAATGGTGTGAGGGTAGCATCTGATCTCCTCTAGCTTCAAGGGGAGGAGCAACAACCAAGATGAACAGTAACAGGTACCCAGCCACTCCCACAGTTGAACACCTTTGTATAGTCAACATCTTTCTGATTTTCCCTATTTTCAGTCAACATCCATCTGACATCAGCAACGATAGTCCATGTTTTAGGTCCTGCTCTGAATCCAGACAGAACCTCTGGGAGGTTCCTGTCCATGTATTGCAGCACCCAATGAAGGACGATTTTCACCAACATTTTACTTGCATGTGTTATTAAAGAGATTGTTCTATAATTTGGACATTCTGTTTGGTCACTTTTCTCTAGAATGGGTACAAGTATGGATCTTTTCCAGTTGGCTGTTTAGCTGTCTTCCAAATTTCCTGACATAGATGAATGACTGTTCCTAGTACTTCTTCTGCTTGTTGAAATATTTCAAGTGGTATTCCATCAATTCCTGGGGACTTGTTTTTGGCTAATGCATTCAATGTACCTTGAGCTTCTTCCTTCAGAACTATTGGATTTAGCTCATATGCTACCTCCTGAAATGGTGGAATGTCGACTAACTAGTTCTCGTTGGTACAGAGACTATGCATCCTTTCCATCCTCTTTTGGTGCTTCTTGCATCATTCATTATTTTGCCCATAGAACCTTCGACTAGTGCAACCCACGGTTTGAAGTTTCTGAGTTATTTTGATCTAAGACATGTTGGGAGGTACCACAGAGTCGGTTCCAACCCATAGTGATCCAGGGCACAAAGAATGAATGTGTGCCTAGTCCTGCCCCATTCTCACAACGGTTCCTATGTTGCAGCCACTGTGTCAATCCATCTCGGTGAGGGCCTTCCTCTGTTTTGCTGCCCCTCCACTGTACCAAGTATGAAGTCCTTCTCCAGTGACAGGTCTCTCCTGACAACCTGTCCAAGGGATGTCAGTTGAAGTCTTGCCATCGGCCATACTTGTTCCAAGAGAGATCTGTTTGTCCTTTTGACAGATAATTGTATCTTCAGCATTCTTCACCACAGTTCTTCGTTATTCAATGTCCTACTTTCACATGCATGTGAGGCTACCGGAAATAACATGGCTTGAATCAGGCACACATTAGTCCTCAAAGTAACATCCTTTTCAATATTCTACAGAGCGCTTGTGTAGCATATATACCCAATGAATGCATTGTTTGATCTCTTGACTGATGCTTCGATGGGCATTGATTGTGGATGCAAGACAGACAAAATCTCTGACAACTTCAAACTTTTCTCCATTTATCATGATGTTACCTATTAGTCTGGTTGTGAAGTTTTGGGGTTTGTTTTTTCCCATTGTGTTGTATTCCACCCTAAAGCCTGCAATCCCTGATCTTCAGCAGCAAGTGTTCAAGTTTAAGATATGCTTCTATTTTCTAACCTTTTTTGGTGTTCTAACTCCAAGTCTTTATATATGAGAGGGTAACCCATCCCCCCAAATGAATTTTTTTCAAAGCTATGTATGTATTTAAATTTTTTTTACAAAACAACCTTATTACCTTCAAGGTACTGTCCATTACATTTAATGCATTTGTCAAATCTGTGATTCCATTCTTGGAAACATTTTTCAAACTCATCTGTTTGGATGGCTGACAACACCTCCCTCATTTTTCTCTTCCCCACTTCTATGTCATCAAATTGATATCCTTTCATGTCCCTCTTCATTTGAGGAAACAAAAGAATGGAGCGAGGCCAGGTGTGTCAGGTCCAGGGTCCACAAAAGGCATGTCGTTTTTTGCCAAAAACTGGCGCAATGACATGGCTACATGAGCAAGTGCATTGTCATGGTGGCAAAACCAGTCCCCTGTCTGCCACAAATCAGGTCTTTTTTGTCACACAATCTTTTCAGAACCTCTACATTGAAAGCTTGATTAACAATCTGAACTGGTGGAATAAACTCCAAATGCACTGTCACCATCACATAAAAAACAAACAAACCCCAAACCAAATGGGCATCGTCTGGATCTTTGATTTCACCTGACAAACTCTTTTGGGGTGAGGTGGTGACGGTGTGTTCCACTGGCTTGATTGATGTTTGCTTTCGGGGTCAAGAATAGCACCATGTCTCATCACCAGCTATGTCCTTGGGGGACAAAAAGTCTGGGTCTCTTCAGAGCTGTTTTTTCAGAGCACAGCATGTTTCTACTGGACCCTCTTTTTCCTGATCAGTCAGAACCCAAGCCACAAATGCCCCAGCGATCCTTCTCATTCCCAAATCTTCCATTAAAATTCACTGAACCGAGCTCCAAGATAGTCCAGATAATCCCCCCATCCCTTCAATGGTCTATTGTCACCTTTGAGCACAGGTGCACGGATTTTGTCGACATTTTTGTCCATTGGGGAGTTGACAGAAGTCCAGACGAGGTTTGTCATCAATCAGCATTTCACCTTTTTTGAAACAAGCAACCACTCATACAACTTAGTTTTCCCCATTGCACTGTCCTTGGTAGCTGTGTTCAACATCACAATAGCTTCTGTGGCATTTTTCTCAAGCAGGAAACAAAATTTCACAGCCTCACACTGTTCCCTTAAATCGGCCATTACAAAACAACGAGGTTCAAAGAAACTACTTTTTACAAAAAAATTCACTATGACCAGGGAGAACCTTCCCAGGTGACACTCCTGGGTGCATTCTGAGCGAGTTGCTGGATGTTCAGCTAGCTGGAAAAATGTGTACTAAGAAAGCTCAGCCCCGCAGACCATTTTGTTCTTTTTGGGGTGGGGTGGGGGGGTACACCCTCGTATTTCATTATAGTATTTTACTTTGTCTTCTCAAGCTGCCTTTTGAAATTTTCTGTTCAGCTCTTTGACTTCGTCATTTCTCAGCTTTAGCTACTCACAAGTTTGAGCTAGTGTCAGCATCTCTGTTGACATCCACATTGATCTTTTCTTTCATGACACTTGCCCCTACCAGCCATCCTAGTGCCCACGCTCTCATTTGTTTAGTACCTGTGAGCAGAGCTTTTATCACCTGGTTCAATTATAGGCTTCTAGGTCCTAAAAAACTTCTGACCTATTCTACCAACAAACCCCACTGTCATCGAATCACTTGTGATGCATAATGACTCCATAGGACAGAGTGAAAATGTCTGTTAGGGGTTATGAGAAGATAAATCTCTGCAGGAGCACACTGCCTCATCTCTCCTGTGCAGATAGAGGAAGGTCTTCATCAAATACATGGGGCTTCCAAAAAGATTCATGGAAAATAGTTAAAAGATCATGAAAAATTTTCCACAAACTTTTTGAAGCTCCCTTTTACTGGTGAACAAAATATCAGTGAAGATTTATGTCATCAAATTGCTGCACAATGATAATATTTCCATTAGATCTAAATCTCCCACCCCAAATCACTGCCCCAAAGCAATTCAACTACATACCATCGTGTAAGTTAGAATGAAGATCATCCTTAATACAGACAAAACCAAGGGACCCCCAGGGGTCACAGTCACATGGATGGCAAGGGTTGTCCTCATAAGGAGAAACCTGAAAGGCAGAGAATACCCTAAATTATTTTACCAGAAATAGCAGCGTTACCAGCAATGAAATCAATGATATTATTCAAGACACGATTATTACAATGCCTTTTCTAACCAAGACGCACAGATTTCAGGAAGACAAGGTGCTTTTAAAGCAAGAAATTTCAAACATCCTTTTGGTTGGTGGTGGCAGCAGTTAGCATCATTAGCAAAATGATATCCTTCCCTATCACCACTGCTACCCAACCACCCACTATTTGCTATCCATCCGAGTCTTATTTTAAGCAGTCTAGGAGCTCCTGTGTGAGGCAAAGGGTTAACACACTTGGCTACTAACTGAGAGGCGGGAGCTACAAATCCACCCAGAAGTGCCTCAGAAGAAACTCCTGGTGATCTACTTCTGAAGGTTCAGCCATTGAAATCACCATGGAACACAGGTCTACTCTGACACGAATGGGAGTTGCCACAAGTTGGAATCAAATCAATGGCACCTGGTTTCATAATCAGAGAAACATGGTGCCCATGCAACGGCTACACACCAATGTAACTAGGACTCATTAACCGACTTCTATCTGAAAGAAAGAGCTGCTCAGTCCCTGGTCAAAGGTTCGCATACACAGTTAGTGTTATAAAAACCTGAGTTTCATAGGTAACGGACTGTAAAATGTAGGCTTAATCGTAATGGATGCATTTTCTAAATGTTTTACTTTGAGCTAGACTATAGCAGGTAGAATGCTACATCCGTATCTGAAGAATCAAACTAGCGTAAGAATATAAATGAACCATTACAAAAGGAAATGAGTCTCTCATACTAAGTGTGGGAGTTGGTTCCGTAGCACTCTAGCAATAGAAGAAAACGAAGCTCAGTTACGGTGAAGAAATACTCTTACTTTTAGTGGTCTATAATATCCATCGACACACGTTTCACAGTTGATCCCCGCTGTGTTCTGTTGACAGTTTATACAAACTCCTCCTCCCTGGAACTGCCCAGCAGTATTCAGACTTCGGTTCTCATGTGCAACACTCTCATCATAGTAGCAGTCCTTGGCTTTATTGTGACAGTTGCATTCTACAAGAATATTTTACCATCTCAATTTATATCCATATGATGTCCTAGGGAAAGAAAGTTCTCTCTTCCTAAAATCAATTTCTATGATGATAAAATTAAACCAAAATTGTAGAAGAAATTTTAATAGGATATGAGCAATTTTACCCAGGGTTGTTGGGACTAGCAATCAAAGTTATAAATGTGTATCCTCATTGGACTCAGCAACCATCTTTTGTGATTATAGCTTGCAGAAATACTTGCACATTATAAATGCCATATACAGGATTAATCACTGCACCATTTTATAAACAAAAGAGTAATGACAAACAAAATGTTTGTTGACCAGAAACTATTTAAATAAGCTGTGTTATATCCACAAAATGGCATTCTGGGCAATTGTTTTTAGAAATAGCATTTCATATCACCTGAATAGCAAGTTCGATAAGTAGATGAAATTTGTACATATTGAATTAGGTCTCGCTAGTTTAGACTTTATTAAGCTGATCAAATTTCTGAGATAAAATGTATTTCCCAATTACAGAAGTTGTCAAATCATCATAAACATATTAAGGGGGAGGGGATACCACTCTCCAAATTCAAGTGTATTTACCTTCGCATGTGTTACCAGAAGAAATCGTCCCAGGTCTCCAGGGCTGCTGATGGAAGCCAGGGCAGCACTTACTGCAATTCTCCCCACAGGTGTTGTGTTCGCATTGACACTGTAATTTCTAAACAGAAAAGAGGACAAATATTGATTAAAACCTTCACCTGCAGGTCCATTATGTGGCAGGGTGTCACCAGGGAAGATACAGGGCAATGGCAGAGACGAAGCATTTAACTTTCGAGACAAAATACGCACATATAAATACAAGCATGTATAAATACAAGCGAGGAGAAATAAGGCAACACTAAACTAAAGATGACTGTCATTTCTTAATGGAGTTGTCAACTTTCAGGGTCTGAAAGAATCCATTAATAGACTGCTTAATGTTCACCTCGATATTTTTCAACAGTGATAAGAAGATAATGCCAAAGCTTGCAGCCGGAAGGGTCTGATGGGGACCCGAGAAGTAATGTGAGTTGCTTAAAAGAAAGGTGGCGGGTAAATGTCATTTTGACACTTAACAATAAACTTTATTTTATCTTGATTTAAGACCACAAAAATGGAAGAAGGGGCAAATGAAAAGAAGGAAATGGTTCTTTCCAACTCTAAATACAATGTATGACTGTATATGTTAATGTGTGTGTTTGTTTGACTGTCTTCCCGAGAAGAGGCCCCAGTGGCACTGTGGAGCAGATGTTAGGTTGCAAACTGCAAGGTCAGTAGTTCAAACACAACAACTGCTTCAGGGAGAATGATGAGGCTGTCTGCTCCAGTACAGATTTACAGTCTCGGAAACCACCGTGAGTCAGAATGGACTTGAAAGCAGCGAGTTAGTCCTTCGGTTTGTGTGTTTTTGTGTGTCTATAGTGTGGGAAGTCTTATAGAAAGATCCAAAACCCCTAACCCAAACCCGATGTTGTGGAGCAGATTATGTATTGTCGTAATTGGTAAGGGCAAAGGCAGCCGTTGAAGCCCACTAGCTTTTCCTTTAGAGAGAGAGAGGTGCAGGTGTCTGATCTCATAAGGATTTATACTCTTTGGAATCCTAAGGACCCTATAAGACCCTATGTCTTATAGGGTCACTATAGAGAAAGATGTCAAAATACACAGTAAAGGTTTAATTAGAAACCATAAGTCTTAAAAACAAATCAAACTGAAAATGCTAATAAATGAAACCAGCTAAAAAATTTAAGAAAAAATATTACATTATGGTTTTAGACCTTTGACTATTTCCCCTGAATTATTGTTTAAAAGAGCAATATAAACATTCATTGTATCCAAACGTTTATTTGAGAGCTTTTGAAAAGTGTATAGCAATGGCTCCTACCTTTGTTGTTTCATCCCATGGACATGTACGTGCGTGGCCATGGCAAATACACATTCCTCCGATGGAAATGTCTTTTATTGAATAGAAATACTGAGGAAAGGGAAAATTACAAAGGAAACATAAAATCTTTCATATTTCAGGGAAAGAAAGTGCTGACACTTCAATAAACATCTCAGGAGATTTAAGAGTTCACATCAGTAATTTAAAATATATTATCCATACAATTAAAATATAGTTATCCATACATTTAAAATTATATTTAATACAAAGAACTCTTGTGTATTTAATGAAAATAAACAATGCTCAAATTAACACAAAATCAGAAACCATAGGAATCTAATCAGATTCTCCAACATAGTTGCATCTTAAAACATGTCAGTAATCTTCAAAACATATGCTATTGCAAGGGTTTACAAAATGTTGGCAAAATGAATACAGCAATATGTGACAAAGATTGACACACTGATTCTCACATTTATAATGAAATATGAGAAACCTGTAAGAGCCAAAACCATCTTGGAAAAGAACCAATTTAGAGGGCAACATTACCTGGCCCTAAAAGTTCCTATAAAGCCACAGTAATGAAGAAAGTTTAATGTTGGATAGAGAAATAGATCCAGGAAGTAATGTACCATTCAAAAATGGACCCTCCATCACCAGGGAAAAATGTCAACAGGAGTTCCAAAGCAATTTAATGAGGAAAGGCAAGTGATGCTTGGACAGCTCTATGTACAGCATGGCAGGGAGGCACAAACTTTGTCCTTTAACTTCCACCAAGCACAGAATGAATTTAGGTGGGTTCTGGAGATAAAAGCCGAAACCATGAAGCTACTGGAATAAAACGTAGGAGACTATACAGGTGAATTAGAGATGGTAAATCATTCAGAGAGGACACAGGGAGCATTACCCATAACAGAAAAAATGATAAACTATGCTTCTCAAAATTAAAACTTCTGATCACCACATATCATAATGTCAGAAAATGAATAAGCAAGCTCCAACAGAGAGAAGATATTCATAGGAATACATGTATATTCAAACACTCATGTGAAAATCCCATTACCTTTTAATTCTATTTTCCATGACATTTTTGAAGATCCCTTGCATATATGATCTGGGACATACATGCAAAATACATAAATGCCTTTTAAACTCAGCTATATGAAGACCGATAACCCAATTAAAAATGGTCAAAATGTTAAATTAGATATCAAAAACACATGCTCAAAATTATTCATTAGAAAAATATGACTCACTATTATAAAGAGATGCCACTATAAACTATTTTAGAATGAATACAATGGAAATGGCTGACAACCTCAAATATTGAAAGCATGTTGTACAATCACTACACTCACATGTTGCTTGGCTCTTTGTAAAATTGTACAGCTACTTTTGTAAAAGGAATAGGTCTTTCTTAAATATTACATCCAGGGATACCCTAAAATCCAGAATTCCACTTATATGATTTAAAAGGGATATGAAAATGTTTGTACATAAAGCCTTGTACACATACACTTAACATGTAAATGTTTTTCTGAATGTAAACTATATGTCCAAAATGTGTAATTCTCCTTAAGTGGAATAAAGTTAAAACCCTTATTGGGTGAAGGTCAGCAATCTGCACAGCATGGCCACTGCATTCACTACATTATTGGATTTGGGCAACAGGGTGGACATGAGGGGCCCTGAGGACATGATGTCATTCTTATCACCTAGCTTAAAGGCAACAGATATAACAAATCATGTGATGATCTTATATATTTTTGATATAATAACAAGAAAGAACTAATAAAAAAGAAGAGCACTTTTCCCTTCAAATATACTTTTTCACAATTGTCTGGAGAGTTGCCGTGTTACTTACTCTTCGTGTGACAATAGGATCAAGATCTTTCGGGTCCCGGTGGCTCAGGGTCATAAGATCTGCGTTAAGGGTTCTAATGCGTTGTAAGCGCAGTCGGATATAGCGGGCAGATGTGAATTCCAGCAACTTGGGTGAAAGAACATCAGCACTTGGCCTGCCATTAATGAGTGATGTATGAATCTGAGGATGGAGACAACAAAATAAGCACATAGTTCAATTCCAAGCTTTCAAAAACGTAGTCTTAATTTTTAACCTTGGAACCTAATCCTTATGAAGATGTGGCCTATGTTCGAAACAAATTTGATTTTCTTGCAGAAGTTTCTAATATTTGTGATCTGTTTGTGAACACCGGTGGTCATAATGCATCTGAATTGTATTGACGTTATCCATACCTGCGTCTTGAAGATTGCTGAAACCTTTGAATAGAACTGCGTCTCCCAGGGTGGTGAGGCTATTGTGACATCTATCATTATGTTATGGCTTCCTTGAAACTAATTCTAAGTGACAAGAATCAACCAGGGAAAGTGGAGAAAATCCTGCTCTCTTAATTCGTCGCTGACCTTGAAACAATGCCCAAGTTCACTGTCGAGGGCCTCTGGGTCGAGCACATCAGAGTGTTTTTGTAGCTTTATCTCTTCAAGCCATATGCTCCCAAATAATGGATTTTTTTTATTGCACTCAGACTAATGGAGTGTATACAATCGGTGTGTATCAAGCACTGAGCTGTAATCATACACAAGTTATCTCCTAGCCCCAACACCCACTAAAGGGTAGTCTTCCTGGGGACTACTGGGAGGGCTATCTGTTCGAGGCATTTTCAGACTTCCTTTTATATTTCAATAAAGGGGAAGAAGAGTCCAAGAATCACTGCCTAACGAATGCTGAGGAGCCTCATTGAGGTAGTTAGTTTATTGGCCGATAAACACATGTGGGGTTAATTGAAGGGTGAAGGGATAAATGGCTCGGTCAGCCTCACCTTTCTAGTTCTCAGGTCTCTTG